TGCATTCAAAACATCATGGCCAGCAGGTTGAGGGAGGCGATATCTCTCCTTTTCCTTGCCCTGGTGAAGCCACATGTGGAATTCCATATCCAGGTCTGGGATCCCCAGTTCAAGCAACACAGGGAACTTCTAGAGAGAGCCCAGTGGGAGGCCACTAAGGTCGTTAGGGGCATGGAGCATCTCCTGTATGCAGACAGGCTGAGAGTGTGGGACTGTTCAGCCTGGTGAAGAGTGGTCTGAGAGGAGGATGTTATAAATATCTAATGGGTGGGAGTCATGCAGATGCAGCCCTGACCCTGGCAGCTCCCCGAGTCCCAGCGCTCACCCAATCTCTTCCCTGGGGGACGTGTCCCCACCCAGCTCACCTCTGCTGCTGTACGTGCGCCCGTGGGGCCCTGGCTGCCTGAGCCAGGCAGGACAGGGAAATGCAGGTGATGGCTGTAGGGACAGGCAGCGAGAGCTGCTGCCAGCAGTGCCCAGAGCACAGCCCAGCACCCAAGACAAATCTCGCTCCACCTCCAACCTCGCACACGCGCTCGGCAGGAGTCCAGGCTCGAGACTGACTGGGCCAGGCTCTGCCCGCACCCAAAGCTGAGCAGTGATGGTGCTGCAGTCACAGTGCATCTCTTGGTGACATCACAGCCTGTTGCTCGGTGATGTCACCACTGTCTTTTGGCCTACACAGAATTCGCTCCAGCAGGACTTAGCATTTTTGTGTCCATATATGCTTTTAAGGCAACTGCAGTGCCATTTCCAGGCACTGCCCCTCCCTATCAATGCCTTTCTTGTTCTCCTGTTCCTCGTGTTTTCTGGTAGCTCTGAGGCCTGGCCTGTGCCTTCTCAGGGGCCTGATAGGTGCTCTTGTCTCTCTCTTTTTTGTTTTCCATATACCAAGAAGAGCTCTGAAAACATGTTATTCCATTGAATTGAACACCTATGATTCTGTGGTTCTGATTCTGTGTAATACAGTCCATTGTCCTCCTTGTGTTTTTGGCCATACAGTGGACAATATCACAATTTGTGTTACCTGCTGCAGTTTGTATAATTCCATACACTCTGTCTCCTCTCTTCTCTGACTTTGGATTCTCCACATATCTGCAGTGTCAGTGCACTGTCTACACACTGTAGGACTCCCTCTGAGCCAGGTGATTTTTGTTGCTTGGCTAAGTTTATATTCTCTGTTAATTCTTAATTGTGAATCTTCTGTTAGTGGTTTAACTCCTTTATTTGTTCCCTCATAGTGTTTCCTTATTTCACTTTATTCCAGGTACCTTATGGTATTCAGTGCTTAAATTACTTTCTCCATCTGTTCTTAAAACAGGAAAGCAAGAAATCAAAGCAAGCAAAGATATCATATAAATGGAGTCAACAACGCCTGTGCATTTGGAAAGGCTAGTAACTGTGGTTCAAGATGCTTGCATTTAATATGAAATACAAGACTGTTCTAATCCAGCCTTGTCAAGTCCCAGAGTCTTATACTGCCTTCATTTTTGCCACAGATTCTAAAAACAGCATATTAAGTGGAAAGGATCTCTGAACAACAAGAAAAGCCAAGTCAGCCTTTCAAATGACACTAGACCATGATGTGATGTGAATTAAAAAAAAAAAAAACAAAAAAACACCACCCTGTTTGCAATGGAAGAAACTATGGAATTCAAAAGCAGTGTCTGAGTCCTGTGTCATAATAAACACAAAAATTATCAATGTGAGAATAACAACAGCTATTTTTAAAACATATTGCTTAGCTACTTTCTGAAACATAAAATGCAATGTAAAACTGTGCAGAACACAAACTAGCCACAGAGGTTGTTGAAATACACTTGCTGAAAATGCTACAGAGTTTAGACAGAATCCCTTTGGATGAACTCAGCTGTCCTCTGAAACCTAAGGAAACTGTATATATGATAGGATATGCAGATCTGTAACTCCAACAAATTTTCTGGTGGTCAGAGTGAAAAGCTGGCCTTTGAGATATTTGAAAACTAAGAGATAATTAAGAAGCAAGATATCAGATTTTCTTCTAATTGAACTAATTGGAAGAAAAACAAAACTAAACAACAAAAAACCCTCAAAATACAGTTATGCACTACCAACACTCGATAACATTAACTTTATTTCATAGACCAATGAAATGGCCAGCTATAATTTATGAACAAAGTTCAGTGTCAGTATAAGATGCAGGATATATCTCGAGGCAGGGGCTGAACTACACTGATCTGTAGTAACTCAGCAGGATTACACTGTTCCTAAGTGGCTATATTTTGTGCTTCAAAATACAAGTCAAATTAATTGTCTAGCTTCTGTGGTGGCAAAGTTATCTGGTCAATGAAGATGAATGGGAGTGGTTTTTCATTACAGTAATTAATTTTCTCATCCAGCCTTCAATTGCGACCGATGCTGCAGACCCCAACTTCACCTAAGGACAAGTATAAAACAATATGTTGTCACAGGGCACTGGTACTGACTTTGGAAGAAGTGGAATTTTGAGTATACACAGCAGTGTTCCAGGTATATGGTTTAAGATGCCAGATGTGTGCAGTGGGCCATGGTGATGCACACAACTGAGTCAAAACAAAATGAAAATAGAAGCATTTAGTAGGAATCCAACTGGGAATCTCTTCTTCCTTCAAAATGCGTCTGTTGCTTTTTGATTACAATTGCCCAAGGCCCATTCCATCTGGTCCATAGATTAGAATGTCATTGCCTCAGTAAAAAATGAATCATTGCTGCAGATGTATTGGTACTTTTCTGGAGTTTTTCTGCATATAATATCATCTGGCTATGGGATGCAACCAGGATAGTATACAGCAGCATCAGAATTTTCAGGCAGCTGATATCTTAATGTAGCCATAGGTATGTAGTACCTAACAGTAGGGAAACAGTATGAAAGCCTTGATTTCCTACCCACTCTATTATCAACAAATGGAAAGAATACAAATTTATTTATTTACTATCGATAAACAGTGAGCATTAATCTCTGCTGGAAGCAAATTACCTGTGTGAGAATCTGGTGGCTATAAGTCATCCACTCTGAGGTTCTGTTAGTGGCAGTGTCAACACCTGCAGAGTGTTCTTCTTCTGTGTTACCAGCATGATGGATGCCAGCTTCCACCATCCAAATGGGTGCTGCCTACAGATGCAGGATGAGTGACCTCAGTCCGGACCAGCAGGACTTTATAAGAACAGAATCCCCTACCAGTGATTTAAGTGATGTCCTCAAAGTAGCCCTCACTGACATCTTCAATGAAAGCAAGTAGTTTATCAAACACAGAAGTTGCTATGGATTTTTATGCTGCTGAGTGAAGGGATTGATTACAGCCTGGGGCACTGTCCTTGTTCTCTCATTCAAAGCAGACCTGAGGGAGACCCAACCCAGCTGGCGCTGGCGATGGGACAGAATGGGGAGCCAATATCTCTGGCCAGCTCCAAGATCACAAGCCTATAGAGATTTTTTTTCAGTTGCCCTGCTACACTTAAAGCTTGGAGCCAGGACTGCTCACTCTAATGCCTCAGTGCCATCTGCATTTACTGAATCCAAATAGGTTGGGAGAAGGTGCAGAGCCTCCTGAAATTTCTCTACTAAAGGAACAACGTCCTGACAAGATTGCCATAGAGAAATTTAATGGGTTTCTGCGACTGTTCAGAAGTTGTGAATATCTCCATTCATTCCCTTGGAAAAAAAGGTTAATAAACTCAGAGAATTGGGGAATATTTCTGTGTAATAGTCCAGCCATGGGAAGAGGGGGCAGGGCACAAAAGCAGTGGTTTTTTGCTGTAGAAATATGCTGGGCACGCTCCTGAATTTTGATCTAGAGAGGGTGAAGCTCATATTGTGTTCTGCTTACTGAATAGAAAAGGAAAAGTGGAGGGAAGGAAATGAAGGGATTATTCTCACGTTGAGTGTCTCTGAATTACCCAACCAAAAACTCTGTCAGTGTAATTCAGACCTTTCTCCACACCAGTGGAGCAGGCACTGACTGCAGACATGACTGCCCTGGGGGCTTGCACCTTCGGGCAGAGCTGAAAATGAGGGCAAAAGAATTCATCATGAACTTTTTCTGCTATCACAGATACAAAATTTCTCTGGTTAGCTTCAGTGGCTGCAATACAGCCCGTTCTTACACAGGACAGCAGCTAGGGTGGAATGGAAAGGGACCTAAGACACAGAGTGGGAGGAAGGCTGCAGATGCTGGGCCCATGAGCACAAGTAAAGAAACACCAACTGAAAAACCCACCAAAGATTTCAGCTACATGGGAACCCCTAGACAAGGAAACAGCACTTTCTACAGCTCAGTCCTGTGAGAGAGACAGGCTTGTGGAGAGACAAAAGTTGGAGATGTGGGAATAGTGCAGTATGGCTGCACTAGTAAGGCTGCAACTCCCATCCCACAGTTTGATCTGGAGAGACATCACAAGGGACCAAGGACAAGGGCTCTATCCACTGTAGATCATGCTTGGTGCTCAAGCGCTAAAGAATTAAAGCAAAGCTTTAATCTCCCGTGAGGGGCCAGAAGTGTGGAGAGATTTGCAGTCTGGGAATTTCTCATTAGCAGCACAGAAGCCACTCTTGCCACAGCAGTATCAATAAGGTGTGTAAAGAGAGGTGCTGGGGACAGACAGAGCTTATCCTTCATGCTACCAGCACGTAAAGAAACTCCCCCTGCCTTCACAGAATGCTGATGCAGAATGTACTGGAGATGCAGGATGGGGTCACCGAGCTCAGCCATATGAGGATTATCTGCCGACCATGTGGCTAGAATTAGCTTTCAGGCCGTGAATTTGAATAGAAGAGCAGCTGGTGGCTGGGAATAGGACTCTGTTCACAGCTTCCCTGGAAGTATCAGAAGGTCCAACTCAGAACTACATACCATGTGATGAAATCAGTGACTTCAATCCTGTTCCCAGAGGAATGATCATGGCAGAAACACAGCAACACACATGAGTTAACTGAGGTGAGGACAAGTTGTGCTGAACAGAAAAGGAGAATAAATCATTCTCTGTCCTTGACAATACTTACGTATGTATAATCATAGGGCATTGCCAAGTGGTAGAAAAGCATCCCTCCTCTACTGTTTCTGCCGTGTACTCTAGCTAAGAAGAGAACTTACCCGGTCAAGCATATGAGTTTTCTAATGTTACAAATATGTCCCTGAAGCATGGTCTGGGATGAGGCACACACTTGTCTTCACAATTAATTTGCAGGGTAATTTTAGGTGATAAATCCCAAGTCAAGTATTACAGTTGTGGAGCAGCCTTTTGAACACTGATTTCTTTTTATGCAAACCATCCAGCAATCATAAGAAACCTAAGCACATATTTCAGCCTCCTCCAAGCAGTTTTCTGAAAAAGGTAGCAGTCATTTTACTTGACTTAAAAAAAAGGACTGCAGTATTTAAAGTAGAGCATGCTCAAAATCAGACCTCTATCCCCTCATTTTTCATTGCACTTATTCTAATATCTACTTCTATCGATTTGACATGCAAAAACTAGGAGAGCTAAAAAGGAAGTATCTGGTACATGTGAGAGCATGGCAGGTGTGATCTACCTTGAGGGCAATCAGACATCCACAGCCGAAAACTAGGACATGCATGTTTGCCAGAAGGGATTGCGGAATGGACTCTGCATCCTAAATAAAGCCAGATAATGGGATAAGCACACAATCTGTTGTTGCTGTCTGCAATGTTTCTTCTAAGGGCAGTTGTCAAAAAGCACCATCATCTAGACCAGTTTCTCAGATAATGTCCCAAAATGGCTGAGGTGGGAAGGGACCTCTGGAGCTCTTCCAGCCTGCTTAGAGCAGGGTCAAGTACCTTTCCTGGTGATGTAGAAAGACAACAATTATTTGAACTAAAATGCCTTGGTTATACTAATACAAATGTGTTTTCATGCATATGAACTCAGGAAAATTTCCATTCCGCCATCTTAGAAACATTCAGGCTCTTCTCATATTTCAGCATTCTTCTGACTTCACTGAACCTGTACTGGCACACTAAAAAAGGTTTATTTAAAAAAATCCAAGCTTGTTTTGGAAGCGTTGTTAATAAACATTACAATATTCTAAAGATTTGGTTGTGAAACAAGAAGCTATAACAGATCTCCGTAAATCACTTGTGGCAGCTCATGACAATTATGAATTTGGATGAGATGCACTGAATAGGTGAAGCCAGAATGTTTAAGTGGGAAGAGATGGCTACTGGGCAAGGGTCTGCCTGAACCAGACATCAAAAGCAACAGTAGGGAAACCAATCTGTAGGTTTTAATCTACTTTTCTCAGCAGTAACAGTAGAGTGGCTTCTGGACTCTCTTCTGCATCAACATGACTCTTTCAGAACAGACTTTTAAATACCTGTAGTCCCAGATTTTGCCTCCATCAGTCCACTTTTATTAGTACACAGGTCCTCTGTAAGCACTAGTCCTTGGCAGAAGGACAGCATTCTCCAAAAGCAGAGCACATCCTTACACTACTTATTTAGCTAACAGTCCATTTTGAGTGGTTGCCCCTCTGCATTTGGTTATCAGCTCACCCCCTTGGTATCTCTGCAGCCATTTGCACTCTCTGCATTTTGCATCTGATGAAGCCAGGCATGAATGCTGCACCGGGCTTTCACCTCTGGGTTCAGAGAATCATAGAATCAGTTGAGTTGGAAGAAAGCTTTCAAGGCTATCTAGTCCAACTCCCTTGCAATGAACAGGGACACCAACAGCTAGATCAGGGTGCTCAGAGCCCCTCTAGAGGTCAGGTCTCCCTGCGTTATCTCTGGGTTGTCCCAAAGGTTTGTGCCTTTGTGAAGCTGGGTCACTCAGTCACATCTCCACATTGGGATGTTGGGATGTTGGCTCCTCACCAGCTGCAGGACATCCTTGTGAGCAGGGCACGGGTGGAGATGTTTCTCCATGGTTGGTGATATTTCTCCTGGTGCAGTGGTCACTCATTTGGTAGGGCTTGGACATCAAATCATAGAATCACGGAAACATTAAGGTTAGAAAAGACCTTGGACAAAGTGCACGCAAGTAAACACCATCCTGCGCCCACCGGCACACTGACTCAGTGCCACATCCATACGGTACTGGAACACCTCCAGGGGCAGTGACTCCACCACCTCCCCGCTGCGGGCCACCTCACGGATTGGAGGCGGCTGCACCGCGTCTGCGAGCACAGAGGCACGGCCACGAAAATATGTTTCCTTGTCATTTTCGCTTAGAAGCGACCTTAGGGCTGGCAGCGCGGAACGCAGGGCCATGGCTGCCGTTTCCAGCCGAGCCGGGCGGCGGCGGCCGCGGGCTGCGCGTCGTTTCCCTTCGGGTCGGTGCAGCGGGGCCGCCGCTTCCCCCGGCGGCATGGCGGGGGCGGGGAAGGTGTTCGCCACCCTGAGGAACCACTGGAAGAAAACCACGTTCGGTGTGTGCTTGCTGAGCTGGGGGGGGAACTGGCTGTACGGGAAGCATTGGTAAGTGCCGCCCGGGGCGGAGGGCTGAGGGGCGGGCGGCTCCGTGTCCTGACCGCTGTCGGGTCGGCTGTGGAGCAGAACTTTTGGTATCTACATTTCGGTGCTGTGCGGCTGTTAGCGCCGTGTGTAGGGATGGTGCTTTCACCTGCGTGACGCAGTGGGGAAAAAGTGTTTACACGTCCCGTTCTTCGGTCTTCCCCTTTGTCTGTAAGATAACGCAGCGTTTCTGTGCACAGCACAGCAGAGCCCGTGAGCATGAGGGCCTTGGTCAGAACTTGGAGTGACTCCAATGCAGACTGCAGCCCTGCTGCAAAATGCTCTTTTAAGAATCATAAAACGGTTTGGGTTGGAAGGGACCTTTAAGGTCATCCAGTTCCAACCCCTCTGCTACAGGCAGGGGCACCTCCCTCCAGACCAGGTTGTTCAGGGAGCTACATGGTTTGGGAAAGGCGACGACTGTTGAGCCATTTCCTGATCTCTGTGGAGGATTGTGTTAGCTGGGAACAGAAGAAAAGAGGAGAGACTGAAGATTCCGATGTCAAGAGTGTAGCAGTTCCAGTGTGGTCTCAGATGCCCTTTTGTGCTGCCCTGTGCCCACAGAATAGGATCATAGAATTGCTCAGGTTAGAAAAGGCCTTCAAGATCATCAACCAAAACCTCCCCTGGTGCAACTTGAGGCCATTTCCCCTCGTCCTCTTGCCTGTCACCACTGAGAAGAGACCAGCCCCGCTCAAATACCATTTGGGTATTTGAAGAGATCAATAAGGTCTCCCCTCAGCCTCCTCTTCCTTAAACTAAACAGTCCCTGTTTCCTTAGTCTCACTTTGTAGGGCATACTCTCCAAGCCCTTCACAAGCCTTGCTGCCCTTCTTTGGACCTGCTCCAGCATCTCCATGTCCTTTCTGTATTGAGGTGCCCAAAACTGAACACAGTACTTGAGGTGGGGCCTCACCAGTGTCAAGTACAGGGACGGGCTTACTTCCCTAGCCCAGCTCACCACACTATTCCTGATACAAGTCAGGATGCCACTGGCCTTCTTGGCCACCTGGGCACACTGATGGCTCATATTCAGCCAGCTGTCCATCAGTAAGGAAGGTCTTCTCTCCTGGCTGCCCATCAGCAGGGATAGGCTAGGGGCCCTCTTTGCAGTTTCTGCTTTGCTTCCAAATATGCTAGTGGATTTTGCGTTTCTTTTCATGTCAGTCACCCTCAGTTCCTTTGTTTCTATACCAGTTACACTTGGACAGATCAAGGAGAAAGGCATACATGGGCTGTGCTGGCCCTGTGTCTTGATGTTAGTAGCATCGAGGCTAAATTACTATGCACCAGGCATACTGCTAGACTTATATTTGCCCTCTTAGAACAGATTAAAGGTTTAGTGAGGTCTTGTGCTTCATTTTCTGGCATTGCAGGAGTTTCTGATGAAGGGGCTTGCTTTAGCACAGCATTGGTTCAGATTAGCCTCTGACTTCCTGGAATTAGCTGTCTGAGGTGTTGCTCATTTATTTGCAGCTGAAAAAGAGTTTTTCTCCCCTCCTGCATCCTTCTTCTTGGCTTTTCCATCCTCTTGGAATTTCTGAAATGCTTCTCTTGCAAGAAGTTCATTTGCTATTCTGACTTTTCAAGGTTCATTCTTCTTTTAGATGCAGAGGCTATGACGCCTGCATTAAGTGAAGCTGCTACTATCTGACCTGCACATAAATGGCAACTCTTCTGTAGTCAGTCTCAGCCTGCACATAGGGACAGAAGAACTCTGGAGCACTTGCTTAAGACTTTGGGCAATGCTGCATAGACAGATAGGGACATGAGACACAAACTCGTCCTTTGTGCATCTTCCCTGCATCTTCCCTGCTGAGAGATGCATCTAGTTAGAATATCCCAAGTTGGGAAAGACCCATAAGGATCATTGAGTCCCAGTGTGTGGAGTGCTGGTTCCACACAGGACCAGCCAAAACTCAGACCCTATGTTGTCCCCTTCCAGCACACTGTGGGCTGTGTTGGGGTTCTGATGTGGATGCTGTTGTGTTTCATAGGCTGTACAGGAGAGAGGGGCACTGCAGCGAAAGGGTTCTTCTCTGAATTAGTCTGAAGGTTGTTGATGGCCTGTAAAGGCCAAGGAATTTCTTAGCCTGGTCTTGCGTAGTACTTTTTTCATATTTCTGGATCAGTGTGTTAGCCTTTCATCTTTGTTCAAATACTGACTGGTTTAACAGGAAAGAACTTTTGAATGAACTAGAAGAGCAAAGAGGAAATCTTGTGCTGATTTCCCCCCCCCCCCCTCCACCATTTGTGGATGATCTAAATGTATAGTATTATGGGCAATGCTTTTCAAAAAAGACATCGATCAGGAGGTAGCAAAAGCTTTTCATGTGTGGAGTGATAGGCATAGTGTCTGGTTGAACTACTGTTAACTAAAACCCTGTTGCTATTTCTGGAAAACCTCAGTGGACCTTAACATTTCTTTATTTCTCATAAAAGAGCATCTAAAATCAGTTGCCTTGTATTTGGGATAGCAAATACCCTTATAGTATTAAAGAAATAAACTGAGTACTCAGTGCTGCCATATATGAGGTTATCTCCCTTTAATATCACTGGATTACATGAACTATCATCATTTTAATCAATAGTATATTGTACTACAGGTCTGAGGGATGCTGAATTTTATATACCAGATCAAGCCTTGGAGGCTTTGCGAGTTGTCTAAGGCATGCTCATACTCAGTGCTGCATTTCTGTTTAATGTATCCAGACAAGTCTGATTACAGAGAAGTAATCAACTTGTCTTTTAAAAATCTCTTTCCTTACTTAATAGGATGGAAAAAGGGTACACAGCTTAATTCTGGCTGCGTTTCTGAGCAGTAGCTACTGATGCCTGTTGACTTCATTAGCTTAAGGAGTCATAGTATAAAATTCAAATTGCTTTAAATTGTGCTCATCATCTTGTATTTCTTGAAATGTTTCCTTACTGATGAAGAAAACAGCAAGACAGCATATCATAGGATTGTTTTAAAATGCTCACCAAATCACTTCTCACCTTCCCAGTTCATGTCCTGAATCTATTCTCCTCAGCAGGGCTGTTGCTGCCCTTCACACATCCCGAGTGGTGCAGTGAGCCACCAGAGACGGCAGGAGCAGCAGTTTTGTCTCCTGCATGATGGATGTCAGCTTGTCTGACTGTGCAATTTGGGCAGAGTGTTGCAGTGGTTCCACTGGGTGAGTGGTCATCACCTTGTCAGGTTGGGGACTGCTGTATGTTGCTGAGGCGGTGGACTCCTCAGATGCTCTGCTTAACTCTGTATACATTGAAGTATTGACATTCTCCGTAGAAAATGCTGGCAAAGCATCTGGGCCTTTGTCTGCTTGCCAGCCATCTGAGTGCTGTTGTTATCTGTAATTTCAGTGTTGGTCTCTGTGTGATTGCCAGCTGATAACTTACTTTGTCACCTTTCCGCGTATCTTCCTGAGTGGATGACTTTATTTCATCAAATCTTCATCAGAAACATGGAGTGTAAATTCTGTCTTGGGTGAAGCTGATACAAATCAAGGTTTGTTTTTCCTGGCTTTCAAAAGCCAAGGTGAAAATAAATGCTGATATCAAACAAAGAGGGTGCTGTGGTCTTGTTTTGGAAGCTACCAAAAGCTGGGCACTTGCCCAGGGGATGCAGCTTCAGCCAGGGAGCAGACAGACTGTGTTGTGCGCATCTGTGGTCTTCTGGCAGGAGGCATTCAGGACAACATTTGTAGCCACCAGTCCCTGTGTAAAGGTTAATTGGTTAGTGAAGACAAGGGTTGTGATACAGAAGAGGCCTGTGTACTCACAGATACAACTGTGTGTGCTGCACTTGTGCTTCTTTTTCCCCTTAGAGGTGAAGATAGCAAAGCACTGACGCAACATGTTAAGGATATAAACATCTTCCTCTTGCCTGGCATCATTAGGCTGAACTTAGATAGCTTTAAAATATACGTTCTACCTGTGAATGTGGTGGGGATGGTGTGGGATTGTGTATGCTGAGGAACGTCAAATCATCTCTGAGTTACTGATCAATAAATGGTTCTTCTGGTCTCTGTCCCAGATAGGGCAGTGTGGGCATAGCCTGCCTTGATGGACCTGGAATTAGCTATGGCACTTCAGTTTAGCCCTGTACACAAACCTTTCCAGGCAGAGTTATTTTAACTGATGCTCTTTCCTTATATTGTTGTAATCAAACACAAGTGCTGCTCCTCTAGGTCATATTTGGATACTTAATACAAATGGCTTACTGCTTTGGTTTTATGACAGTTAAAAACATGCTTATGCCTCTGAGGAGTTTTTTAGACATTCCAGTTACTTGTTATCTTGGTGAGCTGTTATTTACATATTTTCTTTTTCCAGAATGAGTTCTCCAGTGGTATTTTTATTATTACTAAGAATAAATCTGTGTCTTTCTTTCTTTCTTTTTTTTTTTTCTGTAGAGTTATTTTTTCAGAGCTTTATATCTTTCCTAAAGTCACCCTACTTCTCCCTTTAGGACACTGCAGCACCTGTAGGTGTTGTCAGTGCCAATAGCTTACCTGGCTCCTTTGGTAAATAGCGTAAGCTTGTGACACTGTACAGGTCATACTCCTGCTGTGGTCCATCATTCTGACCAAGGCTTTGCCAACTCTTCCACCATTTCCACTGCAGAATTTGGCCCAATGGACAACAGTTTGTGGCTGGAATGTGCTCCTTCCGTAGTCAAATGGTTTTCATGGCTTGCCTTGGATCTTTTTAATGGGTGTAGCATGCATTATGCTGACTGTAACTTATATTATTTATTTTTTGTACTTGTGATTTTTGATGCAATAACAAACTGACTTGCCAGATACTGCTGAGGGAGAGCTGATGGATCATTGGTTTTTGCACAGAGGGGAATGTCTAGTAGCCAGAGGACAGATGAAGCTGGGTTCTACAGAACAGGACTCATTTTTCTGTCTCTGAAGCCCAATGGGGCATTTTTTTGGTCTGAAGAAGAATTGAAGTGTACTGCACACTCAGTAGCTCTACTTCCAATTTGCTTACCACCAGCATACTGTCTTCCACTTTGCTCATGTCACCGATGGCAAGCATACAGATTAGAGTCTGGAGTCTCTTTCTGACATGACTATCAGTGGCATTTCTAATACTGATGTTTGCTTCTTTATTTTGAAGTCTCACTGAGGTATATTGGATTATTTCATCTCTCTGGCCTTACTTAGTCCATGCTCAGACCTGGCTAGGTGGTAGGCCCTGCATTAATGTGGTCACCTTACAGACTGGGGGAGGGAGTGTTCACAGCTGTAACACACAAAGATTTAAGTCTACAGAAGTTATGCATAAAGTCAACTCTAAATCCTTTCTCTTGTAATCCCAGAATGGTAAGTACCTTCAGTATAAACAACAAGCAGTATTAACTTTTATTTTTAAAGGAAAAGCAGCTTGGATCTGGAGTGCAGTTATGTACCAATTCAAAAATAAATCACAGTGCTGCAGTGTCTCATGGCTTATGTAATCTCAGCACACTGGTCTTTGTTTTCTGTTTACTGTAGAAAGGGTGTTTGTGTGCGCATGCAGAATGTGCTTAAAAGGGTGCGTTTTATCCTTAAACATGTGTCAAACAGGCCTTAAAGAAACTGCATTTTTATTTTAGAACTGTCAGAGCACGTGTGAAAAGGGTACACACCTTTATCTTGAAAAAGAGAAGATTGTTTTAAACTTACTCAACCTAATGTCCGCTCTCTGTTCTGTTTTATCTAATAGCGATAACCTGCTACGGAGAGCTGCGTGCCTAGAAGCCCAGGTAATACCGCTTAAAATGATAAAATTAGATTAAAATCCCCCTCTTATCTTGCTTGTGCAGGGCTCCTGAGATGTTCCCAGCTGGCCCTCTCTACGTGACAAGCCTTGCAATGCTGCCATCTGTGTTCCCTTGCTCCAGTGCCAAAGGGCAGGCAGGCCTGCAGCCCAAAGCTGGGGCTCCGTACCCGCCGTGCCCTGACTCTGCTGTTGCAACGGATGGCACAGTGCCCTCACCGGGGTGTGAGGTTTCAGCCACTGCTCCAGCTACCCGTACCTCCATTGCTGCAAACTGAATTCCTCCGTGCATGTGTCAGGGATGCTGTGCTGATGGCTCTGATTGCCTTGGTTGTATGGTGTAGATTTTAGGAGTCTTTCTACCTCCTAGGAGTTAATTTCAAGCTCGCTTCCCTGTGCCAGCTGTTAGGGTGTGATACTGCTCCCATCACTGCTACGTACTGGGGCCTAAGGAGAATGATAAAAACTATTTTTCTCATTAAAGAGCTCTGCTTGAGGTTACCCTGCTTCTTAGCTGCAGTGCACTGAATAATCCCAATTTGGGGCTGCCAGATGTTGAGGGAAAGATGTTCACAGCAACCTGATCTGAACTGTGGAACTTTTTTGCCAAAACAGATGTAAGGGAACTCAAGTCTTCTAGAATGATAATAGAAAAAATAGTAATGTGTAATGAAAAATATAATGATAAATAAAAAGCAAAAAAATATTACTTCCATAAATCATACCTTCAGAGTGAAATGCAATTTCAGCTCAGACTATCTGTTGTTCTTCATTTTTATGTTTTCTATATTAATTTTCACTGCAGAGATCTCACGGTGACAGAAGTTGTTTTTATATTGCCAAAAATAGCAGTTTTTGCCTCAGTGTTTGACGCATGCTGACCAATTCCTGGCATTAAAAAAAGAAAGGTATTGATGAAGTGATGTATGAAGAGAAATTTCAAGATCTAAGTGTGCGTGTTGTCATAACTGCTAAGGAAGGACTGACACAAGAAGATGGTTCTGTTGTGGAAATTCTAACTTTACTTTGTTAATTGTTTGTTAATTCCAGCAATTAAGCGATGGGATCTATTCCATTATGGCTTATTCTTGTAAATGAAAGTGCCATAGCACTGTCAATAGAGCTTCTTACAATTGCAGGGGGCAAAGCTTGGGAAAATATCCTGTGGAAGACTCCTGCGTTAGAAAGGAGTGAACCAGAAGGCTTAGTAATCAATTCTCACTGTAATTTTCATTCTCACCAAAGTGTCAGTGCCAAATACTGCTTGAGAACACAGCAATATAGCAGTGAGGCATTAAATGTCTGATTTGTTCTTTGGAATAGCAGCAATCTGTAATTGTTTGAAAAATGGTGTTAGCTTTTATAGCATTGTGTAAGTGCTGGGCAAAATAGAGGCAGACTCTCTCCATAATAAGGCTAGTTGGGGTAAAGCAGGGAGTTTTCCCTATTATTTTTATATATGTTTTTTTGAGTTCTTAAGCCTAGTACAGTACCACATTAGTGATAACCCACCTTCCTGCCAAAGAATCCCCTACAGCAATACTTCCTGCAGAAATTCCACCACACACGTCTGAATTTAAAGATGAGTTTGTGATGACAGCATTGGGGGAGCAGACGATGATAGAAGGATTCCACAATAAAGAACCCATTTACAAAACTGAAAACCTTTTACACATCCTTCTCTTGAATAAACCAGTGTCAGCTGGCTATGGACTTTCTTCACAGATGTGGGCTCTGGCTGATGTTACTGAGCTCTGGTTGTGTATTAAATAGATCCTGCTTAGGTGGCAAACTGGTTAGTCAGTCAGGTGGGGATAATTTCTTGTAAAGGCATATCACATCTCTGTTTGCATTCATAAAGCATTGTTAAGCCTCACAGAATGGGTTTTTCATAATCACAAAGTAGTGAGTTTCTTCCTCCAAGTCCAGAAATGCAGGACTTGCATTTGTACATTTAATAAGGAGCTAAAAAGGATATTGCCTTTCTGAAATTATACCTTCTTGTCTATTCAATAATCATTTTTAATGTCCGGCCTTAAGTTGACACCGCAAAACTTAAAGAATGTTGCATTATTATTTTTTTTATTTCCTGTCTTGAAAACCAGAATTTGTTTTGGAAATGTTCCTGTATGTAACATAAATGTCCTCATCTGTTTTATAAAGAAATGGTCATGCCAGTACTTGTACATTTTTATGAGCCTGTTTAGGTTGTTTAGAGCAAGCAAATGCATTACGTTGTGCTCTCCCAAGTAAATAATCCTTTCTAACAGCTGTGATGTGTCATATCTTTCCCATTCCTGCCCCTCTGACAACTGCAGTAAAACACGGAATCATTTTTTTGCCTTTTTTTTTTTTTTTTTTGGTAAAACTAAGAACTGTTGGTTTGTTGCCATTTCTTTGACCATTTCTTTGCTCACAGCAACTTCCTTGAAAAAGTTTGAATATTTCCATGGCATGACCAGCTCCTTCCAGTTGAGGCTTCCTTAACAAAGTTGGTGAGGGAAAGTCCTTTCAACTTCAAGCAGATGATGATCACTAAAATCTACAGTGTTTTGTGCACCATGTCCACCTTCAAGATAAAAATTCCTGATGGGGGATAAAGCTTTAAAGGAGAAGAAAGCAGAGACAGTTGACTCTTGTGTTCAGCACAGCAGTCTTTTGTTCCTGCTTTGCTTCTGAGTTTTCTGGTTGGTGTTGCTGAACACATCGGCACTGCTGGGCTCAGAACCAGTTTGATGTGTGTGGTAGTGGGGATGCCTTGAGGTGAGCCGAGAGGGCTCTTGCAGAGAAGGGAGTAATGTTGGGGCTTTGCCTTTTCTTGCCCCTCGTGCTGGAAAACCATGGAGATGGGTATAAACGACTGAAGTGTACAAGAGGCTGTGTGAGGTAGCTCTCAAAGAATTTAAAATAAAGGCACCTATTCAGAATGGGATGAAAAGTTGAAGAGGAATTCGGTGATTGTTATGGAGAGACTGCAGTATCATGGGTCTTTCTTCCCATGGCAGAAAGCTAGAAGCTGACAAAAAGGAAATGGTGGATGAATCTTAAAACAGATGCAGATTTCTTGTGATGCTGGCATTGTGTTGCTAAGAGTTCTGATGTTTGAATAGGAGACCTGTACAGTGACTGAAGATGGAAGCCATTTGAATGTTTTGAGGCTTGAAAGCCTGTTGCTATTTGTGGAGATGGATTAATCTGAACTCCCTTACCAACGTTCTTAAACTGAACTGTGATCTTTTTCTCTTGTTTAGGTTTTTGGCAATGAACTGATTCCTTCCAGTATGCCTTTGAAGAAAGCGACAGTTTTCCTCAATCCAGCAGCTTGCAAAGGGTAAAATTCCCCCTCCCTTACTCCCCTTTCTATATATCTAATTGCCATTCACTATAAAAGCTGGCCAATTTTTGAGCTCATTTTTGTCCCCGTCTGATGCCAAGCTGCTGCTGTGTAACTACACCAAAGTATTTATCACTGAAGATGTTGGGATAGCAAATAGAATTAGATGCTTGAGTTGAAAGAACGATTTCCAGATACTTTATCCTGCATTTGAGTCTTTGTCATTCCTCTACCTCCCTTTGTATGTGACATGTTTACGTCAAAAACGATAGAAAGTTGACCTTGATTTCTTTTAGAGTTGAGGTTATCCTCAGTGATCTGACTTCTGTAGGAGCATGTCCTTGAAAGCGATGTGCCCACAAACTGGGAGGCTAAATATGGGTTCAGAGCAAGACTCCTGGAAGAGGTCTGCTGCTGCTTTTGCATACTCATTTAGTAAAAAAAAAAAAATCTTGGATATGATGTGTGTCTGCTTCTGCTCGTCAGCTCAACTTCTCAGCTGCATCTCTGGGGGGTTCAGTACAGATATCATCGGAGTGATGTATCTGACATGGAAGTGCTTGGACTTGTGTGCCTTTACACAAAACATCTACGACTAAAAAATGCCTAGTGTTAATAAATTAAAGCCTCCAACTTTAAATTTAAATCTCTCATATTTCTGCTTGTAAGTAATTTATAGATAACAAATAACTCTTTTACTGTGGAGTTAAAAGCATTAACGTGCACAAATCCTGTATCAGAAGAAGGTCAGATAAGACTTCGCTTCTATATTTATTTAATGATATAAAAAGTATATATATATAAGTAAATGTTATTTAAAAAAAAAAAAATCTTTGTAAAAACTTAATAGGATTTTTTTTTTTGTGCTTTTAAAGCCTGCTGCTCTGCATGTTGTTACTTCTTTTCTTTTTTTTAGTAACTTTCTCTCTGGAGATCTCATTTTGACTTTTAAAACTAATTTTGGAGAAAGCCAGACAACCTTCTGCATGTAATAAAACTGCAACAAAAAGCTGACATCTCAGATAGGAGTTTCAGAAACAAATGACATTTCATCTTTGGGTAGCAGCTTGGGTGCCTGATAACGTAAACTGTGTGCTCTGTTTTTAACTACTTTTCTTGTTGTTATTCAGTAATTACTTTACTTTTGTTTTTTTCTTTTGCCACCCGACTGATGTCTGCTTTTCCTTTGTTGTTTTCTTCTAGCAAAGCCAGGAACCTTTTTGAGAAAAATGCTGCTCCGATTTTGCACCTGTCTGGCTTGGATGTAAATATAGTTACGGTAAGAACTGATAGGTTCTGCAAATAGAAATACAGTGTCTGCTTTGCTTTCTTTTGAGAAATTGAAGTCCAATTTTGGATGTAATTGAAATTCTCAGTTGTCTTCTAGGCATCTGCTGGGAGGAAATAATTATTGAGATTTTAAAAAGGTATTTAATCCTTTTAATTCACAGTTAATTTACAAACTGTGTACTGAGCTATAAAATTTTCAGCTAAAGCAGTACATGTACATGCCTGACTGTCTAAAGCAGCCCTTCTATAATTCGTTTTTGAGAGAAAAATCTCTCAATACTTGCCTGCTGGTTAGTGGTGCATGCCTGTTGCTGCTGAAATTGTCAGTTCTGCTTCAACTTGCAGAATTCAGAAGCAAGGAGCTTTGATGTGCAGTGGAATATCTTCAAGTTAATTAAAAATAACTTTGTGTTTTCACCCTAAAAATTTCTCAGTGTATCCCCAGATAATTCATGGAAGCAGAACACTGAGCTGTAAATGGCTTGACTTAGCTGAGAGGATTTCTTTGGAAAGAGAAAAAGTGAATGTGAACGGATCCCTATCTCTTTGCAGGTTTTTGAGGCTGTGATTTGTGGATTGTTTAGTACTATGCCCTGCAATATATGTATTTCTGTTTTGGAATATATTTTCTTAAGCTTCTGTTTAGTGTTAAGATGCTGTTTTTATTAATGCCCCTCTTTGATCATATAGATCACACAGTCCCAGCTTAAGAGAAAAAATGTTCTGCAAAAATTAAAACTTAACGCTTTTTAACTTCAGATTTGGAATGTGATCAGAACAGAGCTAGGCCACTACTGGGCCTGGTATGTCTTTGAAAAAGCATTCATTTTGCAGAAAATGGTTTGCTAGTTTAGAAAGCCAGCATACTTCTTAATGCTAAACTGGTTTTTAGCAGCTTTCCTAGCCTGCTGTTGGGCACAGCAGCCCTTGGTATAGCTGATTCTGTGCTTCAGGAGATGCACTCAATCACTTTGACTCTAAAGAGGCTTTTTTCTGCAAGAGTGGTTTGTTTGTGGATTTATTTGAATGTAAAACTGTCCTCAAATTTGATTATTTCTGGATATTCTATATCTACTAAATGAGAGCCTCATTAGGCTGTGTGTGTGTGTTTATTTTTTTACACTGTATTTGGCAGAGGACTGGTTTCTTAAGTTGAAGAAGTTTAAGAGAATGTTATAGAAGAAGCCTACAGTACTGTGTACTTATGTGAAAATAACTATTAAATAAATTGGTGGTTTACTCTTATTCTCTTCTGTATGTGAAAAATACATATATATATACCCTAGGAATAATCACACCTGATTTCTCATGTTTGAATTTCTGTTTCTTCAGACTGATTATGAAGGACAAGCAAAAAAACTGATGGAACTGATGGAAAACACAGATCTGATCATTATTGCAGGAGGAGATGGCACAGTACAAGAGGTATGGCTGCAGTTTTGTCCTGGTTTGCTGAGAATTGTAGCAAGGCCGAGGGTGAGAAGACTGAGTCTTTGTAACGTGCAACAACATCACTGTAGTCATTACATAGGAGATTTGTCCATTTCCACATCTGTGTATTAAGTCACTATTATAATCTTATAAGGGTAAAAAAACTCCACTGTTTTTTATTTGCCTGAAAGTGATGATGGAAACAAGAGTGTTCAGCATAACTGTCTTCCAGAATAACTCCACAATGAGAAAATTATTTGGGGAGAATTGTTTCCAACTTTTTCTTTCTGTGTAATGTAAGTGTAATGGTTTAATTTTCAAAGCTCATTCCTAGCCTGTCTGTACTTCTGAGAATGAATGTAAGTTTTCCTAAATGGGAATCAAATAATTTAAAATTTATATGGGAGCAATAGTAAGCATGGTATGCATTTAATAAATGTCTGTTGTCAAGACGATTAATGGCAAGAGCATACTGCCAACAGAACTGGGGAATACTCTCTTTCAAGGCAGATTGTTTTTTACTAAAGCATTTCCTGGAATGCTAACTACTGACTTCATCAGGCAATGGCTAAATGAAATGAAGTGGTTTTAAAATAAAGTGGTTGGAATCCATCTAGATGTTTCTCCTGCCTTAAAATCAGTTATTGTTAATTGCACACTTAGCCGTGCTGTTCTTGCGTTTATGCAGGGCTGTCTTGGTCTATTCTGTGTTTAAACATTTATGCTGGCATCAGTTGTGATGTCAACACATACTCATGTGCACTCAACTCTGCTGTTTCTACCATGTTTGCATGCTGGACGTGTGTCCTTTTCCATGCAAGCAGTAGTAAAAAAGAGTAGCTGCTTCTTAAATCTTTGCAGAAGATAAATATGTATAATTTTTCATAGCTTTCCACTGTCAAAGCAAACAGAATTCTCAAAGTTGAGCCTTTCTCATGTTTTTCAGGTCATAACTGGACTTCTTCGCAGAGCAGATGAGGTGAGGAAGTTTATTTCCTAGAAAAGGTGTCTTGTGAATCCACTGTGATCTCTTGGTCCAACCTGGCTTCTGCAGATGTTGTTGCTTGCTAATACCAAGCCAGTTTGCTGTGTAGTGAGTCAGCCATGCTAGCATCCTGCAGTACTTCCCATTGTTGTTCTTTTCTTGGGGAATACAGTGGCTCTTAAGTCATGTCTCTGGGGATTTTCCAGCAGGATTTGTTGAGAAGCCAAATGCATGTCTTTGAGAGACCTACATACAGCTGTGTATGCTTTGTTTGGCACAAGTATTGGGCAAAAAATACAAGTTTTTCTTGTATTTGTACAGACTTGAAACTCAATTTGGGTTTGCCCAAATGTTGTTTTAAGATTGGTGTGCTTTTTTTTTCATGCAGTGAATCTCCCTGTGTAGATAGCTACAGAGAACTAATTGTAGCCTCCCAAGGTGGAACCCTCCAAATGGAAATGGAAATGAGAGAGATTTTTCTTTTCAGAGAGGGAGGACAGTGTTATTGAAGAAAGGAGGGGATCATTGTTCCCAAAACCTTCTGACAGGAGCTGGCAAAAGCTCAACTAAATGATCCAGGGAAGATTCTGATGGTATCCTTGGCAGCTAGAATTGTATCTGTTTAGGCAGTTGTCTCGTCTGAGTGTGACAAGAGAAACTCTGCAGCTCTGCCAGTGTTTTTTATGAGGTGCTAGCTGTATCCATTCTGAGATATCAGGTTTAGTGTTTAAATTTAGTGTTGTTGTAAGTGACCCCTGAGATCTCTGTAATCTAAGGATTCTGGAAGAAACATTTTGGAGGCTTTACTGGCTAGTTATTTCTTTTGTATTTTTGTCTTACCTTGATGTATCTCATGTTGATCTGCAGTAACATAGAAAATTCTGCAACCAGCACTATTTTGGGTGGAATATTGCCTTGTGATAGTCGCTTCATGTTTTTGGCCTGGAAATTCTCCTTGCCCTTCATATCACTCTGCCCTAGGAGTAGAGACTTGCAGCTCAGTCCCCTCAGTTTGTGCTCTGCTTCCCTTTCACGGTTATGTCATGCCACTGTTGTCTGGATATTGTAGAGCCTGTGCAAGGTGTTCCAGAAACCTGGGTTCTAGTAGACAAGGGAACAGAGTATGACTGCATTTGCTGTGAGCAGCCTGTCTTCTGCAAGCTGTAAAGCAAAGCTGAAGATGAGCGAAGGACGTTTGAAGTGTGTTAAGACTTGCAGGTGAGACAGAGATAACAAGGAAGAGCAGGTAGGCATGAAGTGAGAGTGATGTTGGTTAGCCAGCGTGGATTTGCAGTGCTGTGGCATTGCTGGTAGCAGCACCAAGGAGGGAGATATACAATGTGATATGCAGAAGTTTACACTGATTTGCTGACACGATCTGAGAAGCACAGTTTATTTTCAGGTACGGTGTAATAACTTGCTCCTCCAACAAGCCCTTTTGCTGAACTGAAAAATAACATGGTCAGTGAGTTTCAAAAATTAGACCTTCTGCTGCTTTGTGATTTGGATGCCAGAAGAATCAATTAATTTCCTTTTCTTAACTGAGAAAATCTCTTTGCCATACAAGGTTACTCTACCAGAGTGGCATTTCTGCAGTGGTAAATGAGATTCAGAGCTTGCTCTGCCTCCATCAGTATTAAGAAGAATGGCAGATTGCTGACAGAATCCATGCATTAGTTAGGATGTGTGTGCCAACCTGCATGTAACAATTCTCGTAATGATTACAGAGAGCTCCTTTGCACCCAGTTGGCAGTGGTGGGTTCAGAGATTTGGATGCCGTGTTCTGAGTCATTATGTATTACTGCCTCATTTAAGGAAGTGCCTGACTGCTTAGTGCCAGAGGGTGATATCAGACACAGCTGTGATCTCCACACAGAAAGCTTCATTCAGCTGATGCAAATGTTATTTTACTCCCCTTCTGTGTCCAGGCTGCCTTCAGTAAGATTCCTATAGGATTTATACCTCTTGGAAAGACCTGCACTTTGAGCCACACACTCTACCCTGAGAGTGTGAACCAAGTACAGTAAGTATTATGTGTTTCTGAAAGGTAGCTTTTGTTTGTTTTCAAGGAGCAGTGCTTCTTGGTAGTTCAACACTTTCTTTTTCTCCTGTGTTACATGGAAGTTGGCAGTCTCTGGACAGAGCCTGATGATTCAGTTTGATATAAGATTTTTTTGTCCGCTTCTAAACCAAAGTCTAGTCAGTTAATCTTTCTTTTCCTCACACTTCATTCCCTTTCAATATTTTCTCCCTTTCCTTTCATGCTAACAAATATATTTCTCCTTGCTACTGAAATCTGTTCACTCTGGTTCTCCCAGTGACTAATTAGCATTCTTATTCATGGGACCCTTGCTGGTATCCCTCACACAAAATCCACGAGCCAACTGGCATAACATCCTTCATTAACGCCACCAGAGTGCTTTGAAGCTCAGCAGGATGGACAAGGCTGCAATCAGCAGCAAAGATTAAAATAATAATTTATATTTGAGTTCTAAAGAAGCTGTTTGAAATGAGTGATCTTTTTGTCCCCGGGTAATGAACTGTGCAGGTGATATTGCAGCATGCTGGTGAAGCTGAAAGGAATTTGGTCAATAGGTTGCTGAACAGCCCGCACATGTAGCTGAACCTGACTTAAGGAGTGTAGAAGTGATATTTTAAAAAGAAATACTTTGGTTCCTTTGTCACTATTAGAGCTATTCTTTGGAGTGTAGGAATTGCATAGATATTGCTGAAAGGCAGGACCTGGGAGAAAAGAAAGGCTGAGAAAGAAACAGCTTCCTTCTCTGTCTCAGTATCCTAAGCCTGATGAAGCCAAAGGCAGTTTCACTTGTTGATTCACCCACGTGATATTGGGTTGGATCTAAAAGCTGTTTGGCTTGGTTGTTTTCCAGCTGAAACAGTGGAATTAAGCAGTGTGGAAATTAAATTTTACCAAACTTTGTTTAATTAGAGGAAAAAAAGAGGTTTCAATGAAATACATGCTTCAAAGCCTGAGTATGGAGATTTCTTTTGTGAGCAAGAGCACTTTGGTTACAAAGTCACTGGTGCTACCTTTGATGACAAGAAATAAGGCAGTATCTTAGTTAATGTCCCTGACTTAATGGAGGCCAGAACAAAATGACCACTGCTAATAGTGCTAATAGCTTTAAATCGTTTAAGAACTTCAAAACATGTTAGTGTACCAAGGTAATGCAGTCCCAGACGTGTGGGTCTCATGCTGACCCTTCATCCTAGGTTGTTACCCTTGCCACCAATAAAACTATTTTTGGATCCTTAATACATATCCAAAACAGCAGCTAACAGAGTTGGTGCACTGAGGTTACACAGAGTTGGTAATCTGGTAGATTAGCTGAAGAAGGAGTAATGTCTCTGCAGAGTTTAGGCTGGGGACTTCCTTTTGCTTTTCTGGTCTTTGCTGCTTGTTAGGATGCCTTTGGGCTTTGTTAGTCTTTGTCACAGCTTGCTCCCACCTTGTTTGCTTTCTGATTTCAAGGAGGAGCAGCACTTTGTCAGAATTCTTATTTTGGGGCTGCATAGTCTTTTCTACAAGAAAAAGCCCCACAAGGATGCTGGTGGAGTCTGCTGGGGGAAAAAAAAACAAGAACAATAAAAACATTTTAAAGCTTATTCCTTCTGCCTTCCTGTTTGTTTTCCTTCTTTCCTGTTTGTTTTGCAGACATATTACTAATGCTACCTTGGCCATTTTGAAGGGAGAGACAGTTCCACTTGATGTGTTGCAGATCAAGGTAAAAACATCTGCTTGTTTGGCACCCAGCATTCCTGAAACTTTCCTATCCTCCATTGTTCTGTTTAAATAGACTACTTTTCCTCTGTGTCGTGCTGCTATGAATTTTGGCTTATTCTATCAGCAGTCTTGTTGGCAGTCATTTCTCCACTGTATGCTACAACATAGCCTAATCTAAAATGGAGAAAATACTTGGCTGAATGGCTGAATATATTCTGGGGGGAGTTAAGAGAGTTTAGATGAATGCAAAACTTAACTAATATTTCTCTAGAAGTAGTGAGAGATAACAATAGCTGTCTAAGCTGATTTAATAAATTCATGTGTATTGCAGAATTAATAACTTTCTTTTTCAGACTGAAAGATGTGAAATGGGAAAACGTTTGGCTGTGTTCCGTATGGTTTTTTTTAGTATCTATTATTTTTCAGTTATGTTGTAGAACAGACATTTCTGCAGCAAGAACTTAGTATTGCTGTGTAAGAACACCTTGCTCTTGGCTGACACTATCCACAGAATGAAATGGCTATTGCTGGGTGTGCAGTCAAACTCAGTCAACCCTTTAAAAAATTCATGTTTTATATTTCTCGCTGGGAGTAAATGGAATGTGTAACACTTAAATTCAGGTTAACCTTTATGGCTGTTAGCTATTTATCATGCCTTTTCTGTGAAATTTCTCTTCTGGGATTAATCAGAATTCAGGTTTTCTATAGAAATGAAATTTCTCTGCTTTCAAAAAACAAAGTTGGAAAAAAGATGAGAGAATGCAATTTTGCACTTTTTAATTTTCTTTACAGGGAGAAAAGGAACAGCCTGTGTATGCGCTGAGCGGCTTAAGATGGGGATCTTATAGAGATGCAGGAGTTAAAGTTAGCAAGTAAGAAAACATCATTTTTGAAGCATCTTCTCTAAAAAATAAACCTCTGTTGCAAAGAAGCCTTTTTTGAATGTAGACATTTGACAGGCAGAAGCACCAACTCTTTAGATTACACACAAATGTAAAACATTTCAGGGTTTTTGTCATTTGAAATAAACGTGTATTTAGTGCTGACTGATTCTTAAGGTTATTGCTTTCCTCTTGCCTTTTGGTGTCCATTTCTGGACCTTTGTTCAGACAGCATTGGTGGAAAAAACTCTCCCTTGAGTAAAGTCTAAGTAAAGTGATGGACCGTTGTTTTTCATTAGTTGCCAATGAAAAGATGGAGATTCTGTAACTCAATACCAACAAGGGACATCAGATGCAGTAGAAATGCCCTTCAGCTCCTGCCAGAAATGACATGGACCATACTGTCTGATGACAGTTTTCTGAATGCTAAACTAATAATTGTTGGGTTTTATCCAAGTGGATATTTAACATGCCACTGTCTATGTGTATCAAATTACTGGCATTATCTGGTGAAAGAGCAGCAGGGCCAAATCAGCTCATTCCTCAGACTGCCATAGAAGAATTGCAAGGCAGGGTGCTGCTGACCACTAAGTAAATATGATATGTTGTGTGAATGAACTACCTGCAGGGAAGCAGGAGATAGCCAACCTCTGGTAACTGACAGATAATCAAGTAGGTTTGAGAGGTGATGTGGGATAGGAGAGATGCAGTAAATGGCCTGGGTGCTTGTCCTTGAGAAGCATGGGATATGCCTGGTTGCTTGTGCTGACTTGGCTATGCTGCAGGCTCTCCTGCTAATTGCAGCCCCAAGATTAAGGAAGTGCACTTCTCTCCTCTCTGTGTTCTTATTAGACTTCCCACCTATGCCCTATTTTATACCTAGTGTCAGCCTTTGCATCTTTTCCTGCAGCAGCTGCCTTTCATAGGGGTCATGAACACCGTGCTGGAGACTTGGCAGCACCTTTTGTACTTGGGGCTTGGGGCAGTGTGAATGACTACAAACTTCATTTTTCCATGAATGTTTTTGAATGCCCAGAAAACATGCTCAGCTTAGGAAGCACTTTAGCCACAATTGAATAGAGGGGCTCAGCAAGCTTGGGTTAAGGACCCTGTGTCCTTGTCCTCTTTTTATACTTCTCTCTAGGTGTACATTTGATCCCTGACAAAGATGGAATACTGGGCTAAGTGAACTTTTAGTGTTCCAGTAAAGCTGAAAAGGTACCTTCTACAAAGGGAGCTGAGCTGTAAGCCACAGTTCTAAAAATGTGCCTGGTTATCTCTAAGCTAAGCACTGTCCTGGTGGATACATAGTGCTGAGTTTTACGTTTTTGAGGATTTGTTGTTTTACAGACAATTTCATGGCTTAATAGAAGTGGTGTGACTGCTGCACGCCCTAGTAGTTAATGATAGCCTTACAACTTCAGTGCTGTTGAGCTGATGGTGCTTAATGTACGTTGTTGACCTTTTGTAGAAGACAGTGATCAAAATTTGTACCAAGTCTACCTAAGTGTAGTCACGTCTTTAGATTCTGTACTGTATTTTGTGACCAACAGGATTTTTATTTTGTAAAACATCGATTTAGGTCTGAGAATACTTTGGGGCAAATGCATGTTTCTCCTGTTCTGATCTCTTGCTGCTGATCTTTTTGCTTGTTTCCTCCAACTTCATTCTTCATTGCATATTGTAGAGATGCATCTCACCAACTGGTAGATCACAAACCTTAAAATTAGTCCCAGTTGTATTGCCTAACTAGGTAAAATTCTGCTACTCAGATGTCAGGCTCCCTGTAGGGAAGATTGTATACTGCTTTTTGTGTTAGTGATCTGTAACTCAAGAACGGAATGTCACTGCTAAGCTGCTGGTGTGTTGAAACTTGTGGTATCACAAAGCTGAACACTGTAGGAGAGCACTAACTTGGCAAACAAATCTATGCGCCCTAACTTCATACAAGATTTCTCCTTCTTCCAGTATCATCTCCTGGATATCTTAAGAGTTCTTTCTGTTCTTTTTTCAGGTACTGGTACCTAGGGCCCCTGAAAACCAAAGCAGCTCACTTTTTCAGTACGTTAAAGGTAAAAAAAAAAAACAAAAAAAAAACAACCTGAAGAATTGTGGGGAAGTGTTTTTGATGATTGTGTAGCTTGGAAATGAAAAGGCTGACTGCTTTGTACACGTTATCTGCATTCTTTTCTGAAATTCTGGTAGCAATATAAAATGGGAGTGAAACTCCACTCATTGAAAAACCTAGAAGTTGTTAAAAATTTCTAACTTTTGAAGAGGTGAAGGGGAGGCAGAATACCTCTGCCTTACAGAAGATCTTTTCTAAGAATCTGTTGCTGCAAGATCACCAGAGGGAGCCAGTAACCACCTTCGGAGCTGGAGATTAGTAGTGGTGCTGAACATAGCATTTGACATGTTCTGTCACCTTTTCTACACAGTATTTATTATGATAACACTTCATTATGATTTATTCATCTGGCAGAAGTTATATTTATAATTAGACTGCTAATGACTGTTGATAATCAGTTTTCCATGTGTAGCAAAATGAACATGAAGATTCAGAGCTTATATCTCACCTTTATCTTGCTTAAAATTGACCCTAGAAAGATGAAAATTTGATCTGCTTGAGAGGCAAGGAACTTTCTCTCACGTGCCTTTCACTGCTCTCTGAACATACAAGGAGCCTCATGAAAAGGCTGTGGGGATACCCAGAAGCTGCCATGGTAGATGAGATCGTGCAGCCAAGGAGTTAGACTGTAATGTATTCATGAAAGATTTCCCCCTGCTCCCCATCCCCAAGAGATTTGAGATGATGATTCTGCATGCTGATATTCTAAGGAGAAATTTGTTCTTCACCTCTCTCCAGCCCCTTTCTCACTTTTATTGAGGCCTCAGTGAGTGGCAGTGATAGTGAGTCTCACTGGTGAGTTATTCATTCTGCATTTAAAAGATCTGTTTAACCTGCTGAAGGTTAAAGAGAAATACTCACTTTTTCAGCTATTAAGAGAAAAAAAATTCTACCTGATATCTCCCCCAGTTGTATTATCCATTGCTTTATGTGCCTCTTATGTTACCATTTTGTTAATTTCTATAAGAAATTATCCCAGTCTGCTGAGTTTAATCTTTTTCAAGCTTGTCCTTGCTGCTGTGCACTATATCTTTGTTGATTTTGCTGCAGTTGTCCTTGGACATACATTTTAAAAAGAAATCGTATTATTTCATCCATAAGTCCTCTGTTTTAAGTGTTTCAGAAATTAGTTTAAAACAAAGTGAGAGAAAATAAACTTTGTCTCCAGTGTCAGTGGGCTTTCAGTAGCTAAGGTTCTGCTATAGCTCATCAATTTCAGGCAGTAGAATCTGAAATTTCACTGAGAAGAATGTATTATTTTATTTCCTCAAGTGCTCTATAAAGCTCAGCTGACTTGTCCTAAGACCTGCTACAAGCACCTGAATATACAATCAGATCTTGATTTTTTGAGGTGCTGAGGAACAAAAGCCTGCCAGATTTGGGTGCCCCTTGGCTGCACACAGCACTGTAATCTTTGTCTTTTGGCACTGGGCAATGCTGTGAAGCTGAGCTGCTGCTTGAGGTTGCCTTTGTGCCATGCAGAAAGCAGTTGCGCTTTCAGGCCTTAATGTTGACCTTCCCAGTTTGGTTTGTTTCCCACAGCCGGAAGCAGCTGCCACACATCTGCAGCAAAGAAAACATCCAATGAGGGGAAAGTACCTCATTGCTGTGTAGGGAAGGAGTAGATTAGTAGACTTGGGAACTGTGGGTGCTCTTTCTCAGGCTGCAGGGATGTAATCTTATATGAGTCTAGAGGCCAAAAAGTAGACTGAGGCAGTGGCAGCATCTGAGTAGCTCTGAAACAGTGCTTGTGATCACAAGGTGAATAGGCTGGAGGCATCAGCAGAATAAACAGGAAGGTTCTCAACAAAAGGTCTTCTGTCTTTTGTTTGTTTTGGTTTTTTTTCCGTGTAAATCCAAGGAATGGCCTCAGAAGCACCAAGCTGCTCTCATGTATCTGGGTCCAACTGAGAGACCTCCTGAAGAGCCAGAGGAGAAGCCATCCAGGCCTCCTTTGTACGTGAGGCTTTACAGACGACTTCGCTTATACTGGTCACCTCCACGAAAAGGTGAGGTGTGTGAGTTATGGCATAAAGTCACAGGCAGCCTTTACTTATCTAGTAGTTCAGAGCTATAGATTGTTTTGTTTTGTCTTTTTTTTTTCTCCTTAGTTTTTTATTCTTTCTTATGTCTGTCCCTTTCTCTGCCTTTCCCTTTCTCTGACTTTCCAAAAAATTATTGCAATTTCAACATTGACTTTGTCAAGATACTTAAGTGATGTTTTTCAGAAATAGAACAGAGTAGTTCAGTGCTTGTGGCCTTATAAGTAGAAAGGCATTTGTAAAGAACTCACTGTGTTCACTGGGCTCACAGTTGCTTGCCACTCAAGTATCTCTCTCTCCTTCTTTGTGGGGAGAAAGGAGCATCTTTTATTTTTCTTCGTGGAAGGAGAGATTTCTGAAACAGAACAGCAAACATTACATAAAACAGGAGGCAGTAAAACTTGAGCTGTGCAGAAGCCTTAAGTTTCTCTTAGTACCTCACTTGGAAACCCCAGGCATCAATTCCCTTCTCTGTGTTCTGTGAGCCACTCTGGAGAGGTTAGCTAGTGCAAAAAAGAGGAGTGTGCATGTTGTGCGATATATAATGATGCAGCCTCAACTGGTGCTTCCATTCCTCCTAGAGGCTAGAAGAGGGGATTCAGATAGAGGCATGGACTAAGTGACCTGTATGGGAGAGCTAAACCCTGGAGTTTTTTCCTGAGGTGCATGTTACCACAGCATCCTGAACACTGGCTATCCTGTTTTTTTTTTTGGTAGCTGCACTAAATGTTCCTGTGATACTAGTCTAGGAGATTGGTTAATCCCTGGGCATAACAACTCACAGGGCTGCCAGATAGTATGCTTGATAGTCTTTCCTGCCACTGTGTGAACACCAGTGGTTTTGTTTTTTTTTTTTTTCCTTCAGTACTTCCAAACTTTTGATGTTTGAAAGAAAGAAAGCTAGTGGTCACAGTGGGTCAAAGTGATTTTTGTGGCTGGCATTGATGTTTTGTACTTCTCAGCAGTGAAATGATGATCTCTTTAAGTAAATTTCCCTTAATGTTATCTTCTGTATTGGCTTCATAGAAATCCCCCAGGAGGTAGCCCCGGAGGACTGGCAAGAACTGAAGCTCTCAACTGTTGAGCTTTCCATTGCAACTCAGAACAGACAGCTTGATCTGACAGTAAGACCATCGTATTTCACTGGATTCCAAATGCTCCCTGCCCAAACAGTTTTCTTTTATTGCTGAACTCTCCTTCTTTTGTCTTCATAAATAAAACAGTACCCTGTGCAAGTTGGGACCCATAACTGAATCTCGGAAAGGGCAAACTTCAGAGCTGGTGTAAAAGCTCTGAAGACTTCTATAAAACAATTGCAGTGCAATCAGGAAGAATCTGTGTAACTGGAAGGTTTCATTAACCCAGCTGAAGTTTTAGCATTACTCAGGAGGAAACAAGGCATCAGAATGGATACTCCTTCCCTTCTCGACCCATGGGAGAGGGGAAATCAGATACAGAAGTTTTATAGTGAGTGCTGGAGTGCAGCAGTGAACATGAATGTTTGCCTAAAAATGTGGCTTCCTCTCTCCCTTCCATCTTGCAGAGCAAAGAATTAAGAAGAAATGGCACTAAAGAAAGGACAGGGGCTACAGTGAGTTAGAGGACAGGAAATGTGGGTGGTTGTGGAAGAGCAGAACAAGGGAGCAAGGGAATCTGTTCCTGTGATAGCCTTCTGTCACGTCCTGCCCATGAGGCTTATGCTCTTCATTGAGTGCTTTAATTACCCGTCTTTGGCTTATGTCTGTTTTGGTGCAATGTCATTGCTATGAAAGCTTTTTGGGTAGATGCCAGTCTTTAATTCTGCTGGAGAATTGTAGCACAGCGATCCCTTTCTCTACATGTCTTTCTCTTGGCTGCAGGAAAATGCAGCCACTATCCCTGGCACTATCCAGACTGACAGGAGGTGATGGACTTTCTGCAACGTGTTTCTTATGCAGAATTCAGGCTCTTTAAGAACCTGAAAATCTGAGTTATGTTATGAGAAAGGTTATCCTTGTAGAATCAGGCGTATCCATGTAGAATCATGTTTTTTGTGTTTCCCTTAGCCTGTACTACATAAATGGTAGTTTCTTCTCCATCAGTGATTCATGATTTGCACTGCCAGTGTCCTATTAATGGTAGAAACAAGACTGACCCTACCAGGGCATTTTTTTTCTTTACTGATTTTCTGATGTCCCTTGGACAAAATATCCCTTGTCTACATGTCCCCTGAATTAGAGTCAGTGATATAAAGTGAAAAAGAGCTATCAGGAATTGAAAAATCTCATTGCCACAGACTACCCTTTATATCTCCCCCCCCCCCTTTTTCCCCTTATGTCTTCAAATTGTGCTTTAATACTTTTATCTAACAAAGAAGCAGTGTAGGATTCTCTCTCATTTCTCTTGCATATCCCAGAGAAATAGGTGACTTCTTATTAGGGTAGTTATTCTTCTCTGTTTCTAGAACTGGATGTATTTTGATCTTACATCTTTTTTTCTACTGATAGGCACCCCATGTATCTGCCTTTGAATCCTCCTCTAGAAGCTATTGTCCCTGCAGTCATGAAAGCTGAATCACAGTACTGTCAAATGGACATCAGGGCATATCTGCTAAATACTGCCAACCAGTCCTGTCTTTCTTTCTCACTCATGCCCAGGCTCTCCTGTGAAGCTGATAAAGCTATACAGGTGCAGCTCAGGCATTGACGAACTTACCTCTGCAGATACAGCAAAGGAATAAAACAATTTACACTACTAAATGTCTTTGGTTTTACTTTTGACATTTTGATTGCATCTATGCTAGGACTTTTGCCAGAGCAGAAATGTTTTCTTTAATTAAAAAAAATATATGATTTACATCTTAATCAAAATTCCTTCTCGGCAAAAGCTTTAATGTCTACTTAGTTTAAGGACATGGTGCTAGTGGAAAAGTAGCTAAGTAAGGAATTTAAAGGAGTGATAATGAGAACACTTTAATTTCAAATTTATATTCGTTAAAATTCTCTTACTGTAGTGTTTGGTGGCCAAATGCAGCATCGTTATACCACTGCTTGAGGTCATGAAAGATCCACTGATCAGGAATCTGTGTGAACAGATGTAACCCAACAGTCTCTAATAAGTGTGCAAAACATAACAAGAGCCAAATATGTGAGTCATTATTTCAATTCTTATGGTGTTTATTGAATAATCTTCAGTGAAAATCCGTTCTCTGGCGTTCTTAATCTGTGTCCCTCGGGTCAAGAAAGGAGAAGAAGAATGAAATGCATATTTTGTCTCTTTGAGTGGGACAGAGAGCTGGGTATTTTTTGTAATGTATTTAAGTATCGTGAGTGTGGCATTTTGAAATGTTAACTGCTTTATTTCTGAATCTTTTTTTTTTTTTTTTTTTTTTGCCCAGCGCACTGAAGACTTCATGAATATTTGCATTGAAGCAGATACTGTTAGCAAAGGACAGTTTGTGAACAGAGGGTGAGTATGGGAACACTGCAAAAAGATACCCAAATCTCTGTACAAGTCAGAACACTGATTTTTGGGGGAATATGTTATGTTTCTGTCTGATTTTCTGCTGTAAAATTCTGCAGCAGAGGTCATCAGTCAGTGATGCTTCATGGAGATTGCTTCATTCTTTAAAATTCTTACAGATTTTTCTTTTTCTGGAAATAAGGCAGATCAGTCTACCTTGAGTTCTTCCTAGCTTCTCAGTTTTCTGTACCTTTCATCTTTCTCTCCACTGGTACTGGACGATGCTATTTGGAAAACACCATCATAACCAGTGTTTTATAGGCAACCAAAAAGACTAACTCCAGAATCTTTTACCTCTAGCTGCTTGGTGGTTTAAGAGTCACAGAGCTGATAAGCTTGTACTAGTGGTACCTGAAATTTCTGAACTCTGATAAGACACAGCTTTTAAGTGAAGGGCTCCCTTTGCTCTGTAACTCTTCGAACATATGAGATCTGAGCTTGAACAGCTTTTGGAAGATGTGAATTTATAGAAGGACTGTAAGCAAATGTGTTGTATGCAGAGCAGGGAGGCTGCAGGTATGGAGAAGCAGCACATAGAGAAAGAGTGAGCATGTATTTCTTTCATGGGTTTGGGGTGTTGTCATGTGATGTGATTGTTTCTCTGCTCTCATCAAATATCAGTCAGAGCTGCTTTTTCCAGCTCCTCCATGCTGTCCCACCAGCAAATACACTGCATCTTCAGTGCAGTTTTTATTACCAATTGGTTTTCTTACTGAATCCAAGGCTGCTCTTCTGTATGACCGTTTTTTTCCTCATACTGTTTTCTAGGCATAGGGCTCCCTCTAGTGAAATCAAGTGGAATACGTTTTTTAATACACTTTTCACTTGATTGTCATCACTCTAAGAATTCCTGCATGTGTGTCTTCTTTGTGATATTAATAGCAGAAGTGGGCCCCTTATTTGAGCATCCCATGAGCCTCAGTGGGAATCAGGATGCCACCTGCAACTGCTTTTAGGTTGTATGAGCCACATGGACCGTGTATGCTTTAGACTGAGATTTTTGCTTTAAAGACTACAAATAGAAGAGGAGGAGGAGCAGTGAGAGAAGTGTGGCCTCTTAAGGGGGAAATGAAGGAGACAGCATAGTGGGTTCCTGGATACGTTGCTCCCAGAAAAAATGTGGATGGTTTTGGGTGATATGAAGGGGGGGTGTTTGACTGTACACCCAGTGCACAGTATCTCCCATGTGAGTAGGACATGGTTCACACAGCAACGTGTCACATTTTTTCTGACTGGATGTACACTGCTGTGCAGAAAAAGCTTCTGATGAGCGGTGACGTGCCTTGCTAGCTGGCTGCTCAGAGACACTGCCAACAACTTGGAGCTGCTGTTCAAGCAAAGCTCAGAAAGAGCTCTTTTGATTAAACACTGCCCAAAAGTCTGTAAGTAACAACAAAAGAGAAGGGGGAGAGGGGTATATGTGGTGGGGAGCAATACAAGAACCCAGTTACTCCTACTGAACAATGAGAGTCTGAAGAGTCTGAACAGAAATAAAACACTGCTTTCTCAAGGCAAAATTGAGGTGCTCAGAGCAGATCTCCTCTGTAGAATGCCCCTTAGCAGTTTGGTTTGAATCAAGCCCTTATTACAGGTTCCCCATCACCCAGCACCAACAGAGTTTGCCTTTGGAAATGTACAAGGAAGCCATTTGCTTGTTTGTTTTGTTGTTAAAGCACCTCTACAGAATTTGGAGGAGTTGAAAAGGCTTTAAAGAAACTGCCATATCAGTATGGATATCCAGGTTTTTTTTTTGCATCAGAATGCTGCGGAGCAGCTGTTATTGCATCTCAGAGAAAGGAGCAGTCATCCTAGGTGTATGTAAGTGCTTTCCAGCCATGGATCAGATTTGTGTGAACAAGAGCATCTGCTGCACAAGTAGAGCTGATAGTTAAGATGGGATGGAGAAGGAGCAGGCAAATACACAGTAGTGCATACCAGAAAGTGCTAGAGGGAAGGAAAGAGAAAGATGGATGAACTCCAGGGGATGAGTGCAGTGACCAGCTGCAGCGTAAAGACTCTTGTTTTAGCTACAGAATTTTACATTGGCCGCTTCTGGAGACAAGAACTAGATTAAACCTATCTGTTATCTACAGTAGGTTTTCCTTCCCTGTATTTTTGTAGTTCGGTGTATGGAGTGAGATTTAAATGAATTGACAATATTGCTATTGGACTTTCTGTTCTTACTCCTGTTTTCCTTAGCTGTATTGTCTTATGTAAGGAGCTGAATCAAATGATCCTTTCTGATCTTTACCAAGAGAGTGGTGAGGTGCTGGCACAGGCTGCCCAGTGAGGTTTGAATGCCCAGTCCCTGGAGGTTTTCAAGGCCTGGTTGGATAGGGCCCTTGTCAGTCTAATCTAGTATTAGATATGGAGTTTGGCAACCCTGCATGCAGCTGGAGGGTTGGAGCTTGATGATCCTTGATGTCCCTTCCAACCCAACCCATTCTACAATTCTATGATCCTTTCATACAGGATCACTAGAAAGGCAGATGCAACAAGTCTCCTTTGACCGTTCTTTTGTTACATGTCTTGTCTCTGCTGTGCTAACTTTGATCCCATAATTGCTTTTATGTAGATCCTCATTTACCTCTGTGGATCAAATAATCTTTCTCACCTGAGTAAGTAGGACCTTATATATTAAACTTTGAGCAGGTTAAAACTTACGTAGGGAATCTTGCTGCATATTTGTACAGCACTGTATAAACTGTATAATTGCATGCCATCAATGATTTATCATTTATATTGCCAGGGGGAATGCACATTCATTCATTAATCTTTTAGCATATACATATTGGATTAAAACAAACTTTTCATAGTTAATATTGCTCCTGTCTTTCCCTGCCCTTTCCTTTGGTGTCTGAGGTTTTCTTCCTTTGTCCTTTGGTTATTTGCTCCTCTTCCAGCCTTTTATGTTCTTTGCCTGGGATTTTCTGTGATTTTAAGAGGAACTTGCATTTCTAGGGTATGGAATATTTGGTGTATAGGGTGTTTCTGACATGCTTTTAGGGTTTGTTTTCCTGGACAAGATGAAGTTATTTAAATTACTGTTTTCGTAACAGTCCTCAGAATGGACAGAGTTGCTGGGGACAGCTGATCTTGTTTATCTGAGAATATCTATCTGTGATAATTGTGCTGTGCTTGAGATAATGCAGCTCTGCTGTCCCCTTAGCTATCTGTGTGTTGCTGTCTGTCTGCACAGGGACCAAAAAGAGGGTGGGGTGTGGTGCATTCTATCTTTTGTTGTTGTTGTTAAGAGTTTATTAGGTTGCTGGTAAGTGCATAGAATTTGAGGAGATAGCAGTCATCCACTGTGGGCATTGCATCATTCAGCATATAAGTGAGGAGCACAAGATTGTGCTATAAGAGTATATTCAAATTTATTCAGTGAACGTCAGCACAGAAGTTGATTGGAGGCTGTCAGTGCATACTGATACATACTGACTGCAGCAGAAGAGGCAATCTGTATTTTATTTTCTCACATTTAAGCTCACAAGTATTTGTATACATATATATAACCTACAGGTTTGTCAACTGCATAGTGATTTACAAACCCATAATAATGTGTCAGCTCTAAAGGTAGCTGTTTCTAAAGAACCTTCTCCATAGCTTACCTCTCTTTTGATTGAAACAGAAGTCAGAAGATGCGTGATCCACATATGTGTCCTGAAGGCAGTCAGTGCATCCAAGCCAGCAGATGCATCTTGCAACTTCCAGAGGTGAGAAGTTAAGAGAATAGGGAAACTTTGTAAATTCATTTCCTAGTTTCACATGATACTGCACATCAAGAAATCCTTACTCCAGATCTGGGAAGTTGAATATACTGTTGATAAGACACTCCGTTCCTCAGTGCAGCATCTCAGTCCCCAGCCAGGAGACACATACGGAAATTACAACCCAAGTGGTTTGTGAACTAGAGGGGGAGCTTTGTTCAGTCAGGAAATAGATAGCTCCCCAGACCTGTCATGTATACAGCACTGGAGGTTGTAAAGGATCTCTTACTCAGATGCATTGAATAGACACACCTTAACCATTGTATTGAAGATAGAATTCCTCATCTATGTTTTGCCCTAGAAGGGATTATGCCATAGAGAAGATAAATATCAGCATCTTTATGTAGACAAAGTAGGAAGAGGAAAGGCAATGGGGCTCTGGTCAACACAGGGAAGTGTCACTAAACTTTGAATAGATCAGGCTGAAAAAGAAACCAAAATCGTGTCTGCCTGAGTAGTTTATGTTAGTCTGGTGTTACCTCTTAGGAAGGAGTTCTGTTGCAGCCTTGGAATTGGCTGTTTCTTGGTTTTGCAAGGGCATTCAGTCAATCTCATGGATCATTTCTATCTTCAAGGGCCTTCATACCATTTGGAAAACAAATTTCATATTGAGGGAGAATAGAACACGCCAAAAAGTGAAAAAAATCTTTATCTGCCAAGTGAGAATCACGAATTATGTAATCATTAGTCAGCATCCTAATATTTACATAAAATTAGTATTGTGGCAATCTTGTATTTCTGAAAGAATACTCTGGAGTCTGGGCTAAATACAGATGAGCCATTGGTAGGGGTTGTGGTATAAAATCAACTCTTCATACTACAAGCTGAGATCTTCAGAGTATTTGTGCACGCCACAGAGAAGTGTTGTTTTTTGAATCCTTGATCTAGAGTTGATGAGGGAACTGGAGACAGCTCAGGCGAGTCTCACCAGTTTTGAGAGAAGTAGGATATGTTGATCCAGGTGGACTGCTGTAGCTCTGTAATTTACAGGACCCATGCTACTTCCTCCTGAGCTCCTTTGATGTACCAGCTCATCTGGAGCTAGTTTAAGTGTCAAAGTGGCAGCCTTGCCTAGAGTCAGTGAAATGCATGCAGAGCAGACACCAGATTTGTGCAGATAAAGTCAACCTGCCATTTTGATGAACAGTTTTAATCTTTGGTGACTTTATCAGCATTAAGGTAAAAGCTCAGGAAAATTCTGCTGAGTAAATCCTGACCTGTGAAATACTTTGCATCTCACATTTCAGATCAATATAGTAAAGCAATACCAAAAGGTGTTTGTAACATGGATTTAATAGGAGTAATTTAACAGGCACTTCTGCAGGTTAGCTTGTGTCACCACTGGCAGACCAAGAAGAGCCAAGCACATATAATATAGTTCCAACAGCAAAGAGTCTTTCAGTATAAACAGTGTGGGCCATTAAATCTTCCTAGCATTTAATTATCACCAATTAACAACTCACTGAGGTAACATTACACTACAGACTCTTACACATTCCGTGCAGTGAAGAATAACTTTCTCTGTGTAGTTGAGACCAAAGGGGCTGGAAGGCATGGGGAGGCTGTCACCTTGGTTAGTACCCAGCTAAGTGTTGAACTGCAGTCAATCAGTAAAATCAAGTCTCGGTATTACAGCGTTGCTGAAATAATGTTTGCTGTTCAGCCCTGACCAGTACTGTTATCTGTACACAGGGCACTGAGGGATCCTTTGGCATTGATAACGAGGAATATGAAGCTATGCCTGTGGAGGTGAAGCTGTTACCCCGAAAACTCCGCTTCTTCTGTGATCCTAGAATGAGAGAGCAGATGCTCCGTGCAGCTGTACAATGAGAATTAATATCAAAGGGGCCACTCTTCACCACTCCTGCCAGGTTCTCAAGGCGTGTCCTCACTAACTGGATTAACCCCACCAGATTAACAAGCCATTCAGCTACTTTATGCACAAGGTACTTCCATTGAAGGTGGCTATATGGCTAGTCTCAAGGGGTTTGAAAGTGCAAGTTAGAATTCTAAGAATTGCATGTTAACTTGATGGCATTTTTTTTCCCCTGAAGTCAATAGTGTTCCATTCACAGCACTACAGGCTGAGTGCTGAATGCCAAATGCTACTGCTTTAATGCAATTGTATATTAAAGCAAAGAGAAAGAGTACTTGTCCTTGTGTTGTAAGAGTTTACATTGTCTATGTATAAATCTCAGGAAAGCTGGGATCTTGGAAAAATTTGTTCTGGGGGGGTCTAATGCTAAGTATGTGAAATGTTGGAATTGTTATATGAAATAACTGAATGGTTATCTACTCTGTCCCAAAATAAATTGGATATCAGTGACATGATTTCAAAGGAAGTTTGAAAACTCCCAGTATGTATGTATCTAGGTAAGATCTTTGTTTCCTCTTCACCCTGCCAGGTTCAACAGCACAGAGCTCTAGTTAATAACATAGTAGAAATATATTCTTTTGATCAAGTTTAGGTATGTTACACAGAAGCACGCTGGAGAATCATCATTGACTTGGAGTATGAAGTCCATGTGGAATGACTCTTTAAAACAAGCCAAATGAGCCTTTCTTGTAAGTATTTCTTTTGTTCCTCTAGCAGCATAAGGCAAGTAAGGGCTTCCAAATAACTTTTAATATTAATTGTACCTGGTTGCTTTTCTCACTAACGCAAATAGTGCTCATCACTCTTTATGCAACCTACATCCCTTTGAGCCCCAGTTCCATAATTGGCTTTGTTGATTTTGAGCTTTTTTTTTTTTTTTTAATAGCTTCACTTTAATTGCTGAAAGGAAATGTTACTGACTTCAGCAAGGTTATCTGTTGGCTTTATTATAACTTACAAGTTTACGTGATTCTGCCTTGTTTACTTGAGAACAATTGATTGTTACTTTTTCTGATGTGATTGCTGTTTGTACATAGTCTCCATGCCTAGTCTAAATTCATCTGTTGATTCCTTGCTGTAGTCAAAGTAAGGACATTAGTGAATCGATTTCCAGTCACTTTCTTTAAGACAGCATCCTGGCTGCATGCTGCTGCAACAGCATCCTCTGCTGTCAGCATGCTAAAATCAAAATGCTTTGAAAGGGCAGAAACAAGTTGGTTTTCTGGGTGATGCTGGAACCAAACTGCATGCTGACCTTTCCTTGGCTATAGTGGGAAGAAACTCGCTACCTAAGTACTAAACCCTTTCTTGACTATGATACAGGAGAGCAGAGGCCTGTTAGATGTTTTTAATGATAGTGCTGCTTACAGAGCCTGCATTGAGCTGTCTTTATTTAATCTGCAATCACAAGTGCCCAGCAGCTCCCTGGGTCACTCAGACACGTTGGCTGCACTCTGTTCTTTTTGCTTGCCACAGAGACATCTGGAATGTTGTTCTGCAGCCAATGTCAGGGGCAGTTCTCACCAACTGAGTTTTTCCTGAAGCTGAGGCTTCAATAGGAAAATTAGCAGTGTTTTTGCCTAAGTAGCAGGAAAGACAAAGCAGCAGCCATTTCAAAAAGGTAAGCTTTAATTGTTTTAAAAAATACCTATGTATTAGTAAGCAGTTCTACTACACAGCCACAGGCCTATGGGAACAACCACACATCTGCGAGATGCAAATAACACCAGAGCTCTTTTAACTACAACCAGCCTGCTTAAAGGGGCTAAGTGATACCTACAGCTTCTGGTTCATTTGGACCATTTCAAGGGGAAAATGATTCACTCCCTTACCTACTACCAGACCCACGGCTTCTGAAAAGTGTGATTCTTTGCTCAAGGGTAACCAAGAGCTCTTTTCAGACCTGGTGCTGGTAATGCTGTGCTGATGTTGAAGTACCAAGGCCAGTCTGAAATACAGGCTGATATTTAAATACTTATATCAATGCAAGTTGAATAGCTTATATAAATATCATTCAAGTGATTTTTTTTCCCCTTCCTTCACAATTCGGAGGCCTCTCAGTATGAAGTGGTTCTAGATGTCTGAATTCCAACATTCAGGGGGAAAGATGTGAGGAAATCATAACGTAAAATAAGTGGAGGCTGAACCTACTACCTACAGTGTAGAGGAAAGGACTCTGTTCTTATGTTTCTATCTGACAGCAAGACAAACAGCTTTATTTGTAAGAAGCCCAAGACAGGAAAGAGGAGGAGAACACTGGGTCCCACTCTGTGAGAACATTTATCCTGGCTTCAGCGTACAGTATGTTCTAGAAGGGCTTAAAATAGTGTATCATAAATAAAAGTGAAGAATAACAACCTAATAATGAACCAGCCTAAGGCACCTGTTTATTTTAACCACAATTAGTCATTTCCATTTGAATGGCATGCTGCATTAAGCAGGATCTGAAATCCCAGTTCACTGCCATTATGCCATTCTGTGATATCAATACATTGCAGTCCCTCCAAAAAAAACAAAACAAAACAAAAAATCCAACCACCAGTGTGTTGTTATCTCCTACCATCACCAGACCATTAGCTTGGGGTGAGAAGGAACAAAAAAAAAAAAAAAACAAAAACAAACAACAAAACAGCGACTAATGTAGAAGTTACAGCTGTGATGAGAGAATTTAGGGTAGTTAGCATGCTATGTAATGCAAGAGGACTTTTGCCCTGTTTCAGAAACCACTCCCTTTCTCCCTCCCAAAGCATGGATGACCTTTGCCCCATGAGGGCCACTGCTTCTATAGGAACTTCTTGCCAATGAACTTTGGCACTTAAAATGGAAGAAGTGTCTTAGCAACACTGCTTTACTTGGTGAGCTTGTACAGTAAAGCTACTTTGTTGAAAAAGTGATAGAACCTCCTTTTGCCCTTCAGAATGCTGGGTAGGAGGGCTCATTTCCTCTGACAGATGTCATGATTAGCTCTAACTACTTAAGTAACTACTTAATTTAAGCTAGTAAAGCATGTGTTAGTATGTGTCTAGGATGAGTCTGAAATCTAATTCAGTATAATGCCTCCCTCCTAGCATCTGCTATTGTTCTCAATTGTATTTGGCTCAGTGCTGCTTGCCCTACACTTGCAGCGAGATTTTCTCATGATTTAAATGTCTGATGCTGTATATCACCTACTGAGATTTAAAAAACCTGGCATTTATTTCTCCTCTGAGCTTTACCCTCTACTCCAGATAGTAAAAAAAAATAATAATAATTCATTACTTAATTACATGTGTCTAGTGCAACTAAAGATGCAACTGTGAAGCTCTTGCTCTTTCCTGTAATTGCTGTACTAGGAAGGCAATAGGAGAAAGAAATATACCAGCCTGTTTACTGTGGCACTGGGTAGACATGGTTTCTAGAATCACTATTTAACCTGCCCTCTGATCACTTACAACCAACCAGAGACACCATACCAAGAGATTAAAGGCACCACTGTAAAGGCAAAGTACTTTAACTGGAAAAAAAAGATCTTACAGTACTTGTCAATATCCTACCTTATGGCATTCTTTTCTTCCTCTTTTAAAATATATCAAATAACCCCCCTCCAGCTGCCAGTATTCAAAAAAGCACTATTAATTTCCAAGGAGGGGATTTAAAACGTCTGTACTTAATTCAAAGTAAAACAGTTAGTTAGCTCCTGAACAGATAAAACTCAGTGAAACTGGTTCAAAGGCTAGGAAGCAAAACCGGCCTGTTAAACAGGCCTTAGTGGTACAAGCTATAGCCATTCTTTTGTATTTCATACTGCTCTGTCAAGGATTTTCTGTGTGCAACATCAAGTAAAAGCAGTATCTATTGTATTAAGAAAAGAGACTGCGGATGAAGAGTTCATTTGCAAAGAAACAAACGAGGAAGGTTTAGGATAGAGAAGTCTTTTTGTTCTGTTTTCTGTTTGGATACTTCTGACTTCCTTCCAAGAAAGGCTATAGAGAAACAAAATTACAAGAGCAACGTGAGCTGTAACTATTAAGCTGGGATGCAACATGAACGTTACTTTTAAAGTAACCTGCTTGCTTTGTTGCTGCTGCACCCACGCTGGCTGACAACCGAAGACCTAGTTTCTGAAAAGCAGAGGTTAAATAAACGTTAAATGATCAAGCCAAGAGGTTCTGCTTGCTGTCTCACCGCCCTGATGTTCTGACAGCTTGTGAACGAGGTGCTGTAATGCAGTTTGTTAGAAAAACTTTGAGGCTTTGAAACTTCCATGACAAGGTTTGTTCCTCTTTTGTTCAGCAAAAGAATTACTAATACCAAAGAGAACAAAAAGTCATCAACAGCTGATCACAGCTAAATTACACAGAAAATGAAAAAAATTGTTGGAAAGTAGTTTCAGGTTTTTTTTTTTAATATCTGAAGGAAATTAAGTCACAGCAATATGATGTATGCCAAACTTCCCCAGAGGTCTTCACTGTAGACAGCGTGTTAGAATTGAAGTGGAAGCTAGAAGGCATAGAGGTGGTGAGTCACTTTTATACCATGGGTGTCAATCTAAAAACATAACCTTTCCTGAATGAAAAACAAAACCCACCAAAACTGGCAGTTTAAGCAAGTGTTTTCCCCTGTAGAAAAAGCATTCCAAGTCCTGAAAAGCAAGACTGGGAGCAACTGTTTGGATACAGATCACGAGAACATAATCCGGTTAAGTTCATACCAACGAACTGTGCAATAAATCTTGTGCCTCTGGTCCCACATCTCACTGAAAATTCTGAATCCACAGCAAGCAAAACTACTCCTTTGCTGCAGATAGCCTTCAAGAAAAAAATGCTAAGCTCTTTCCTTGCAGAGGGACACAATCCATAAGGAGTCTACTTGGGGAACACTCGCTTCACTTGTTTTAAGAAGAATTAGCAGGTGAGACATCAGAGGTTCAGGTGCTGTCTCACTGTATAAAATGCTATGGTAAAGGTATAACACCAGCTACAGTTTGCATCTCTACAAACTGCAGAAAGGCTCTAAGGTGCTGAAGTCCCTTACGGTAGAGGGAGCAACTAAGTAGCTATAATGGTAGTTCATGAAAGAACAGTTAGCTTAAAGCTGATGCTGCTACTGGCTAAAGGATTTTGGACAAAGTACTATGTCACACCTACAACCCATAGTTCCATTCTTGGACTTTGCGTGGCAAAAGGGTTACCACTCACAGGCATAGACTTTCTGGAGGAAACCTCTGGCCCTGTATAAACTGAATCCTGCTCGGTGGTCTGTCCAGGTAGAAAAAGGCTTGCTGTTAGCCATTGCTTCCAGCCAGTTAGTAACACCAAACTCCAGAGGAACCTCCTGTAAGCCTTAAAGTCATTCCAGCTGGAAGGTTACATACTGCTCTCTCTCTCATATTCAACGAGGAGGCAGTTCTGAAGGATGCTTGACAAAGGAGAAGTGGCAGACAGTGTTGAAACAAAGGAATGGCAAGTACTGTCTGCTACAAAGGAAGAGCTAGTGACATTAGTTAGGGCATACTTCTTCAAAGTAATCCTGCCCAGCATCATCTGAACTGAGGCTGGAGAGCATAGCAACTGCAAGGGGGCTCAGTGATGTTGGATCCTCTTCAATGTGAGGACATCTTGCTGGTTTGAAGATATCCCAAATCAGCAGATTCAATACAGCTGAAAATCAGAGGAAGCAGAAGGAGGGACGAAGTAGAAATAGTGCTCTTTTCCAGCTGTGAGATAGGCAGGTATAGTCTCATAGACTGTTTGTACCTTAAATGCTGGAGATGAAACAGTACCACTCTGGTAAGCAAAGTCGTAAGATCCTATAGCACCTCCTTATCCCAAATTTGTTTCAGCCATTGATGAGGAAGGGTGGCTTTCTTCCACTTCAGCTGCTAAAAGTTGGGTGAGGAGTGTTTAAAGGAGTCCTGGTCTTCATCATTTGTTTAACTGTCCTCACCTGTAAACATGGTGGGACAGGAGATGTTTTATGATACTGGGACACTAACAGCCTGTGCTGAAGCTCTCTTCAGTCAAGTGGAAAAGGGAATGACAGTAGAGTTTTCCAGCCAAGTCTTGAGAGCTCAGCAGCAGCATTTCACATTGGTCCCCATCAGACAAAGTGCTTTCCTGAAGTCTTCAGCCCTCATGCATCCAGAGTAGGCAAAAACCTAGCTCACTGGCACCAGTGAGGGTTGGTGCAGAGATGCCACTGGTCCTATCTAAACAAAACAAAACACACAAGTGAAAAAGAATAGGAGATGAAAACAAACAAACAAAAAACCCGGAGTGGGTACTCCTTGGGGAAATCAAGGGGGTAAAAATAGAATCACATTTTCTTTTAAATTATAAATACTTTCCATATAAAGTTATTAAATAAAATGAGATCCATCCAGTGGCCGTGGTGAGTTCCAGTGATGCTCCTAAGCAATGTCTGGTAGTCTGTAAAAAGTGATCTTTGCTCTCCATTTCTCTTCCTCTTGGTTTAAGTGCAGCAGGGGTTGTCAATGACTAGCATAACATCAATGCCATATACTTCCAGTAGGTCCATAAGAAAACTTCGATCCCCCTGGGGATCCAGGCCCATGCCTCGTGCGTGGTCAGCTGTCAGGGTCTTGTCCTGGCTGGCTGACACCTCCATCAGTGTCTGAAATATGCGGTTGTTCTGCTCCATAAAAAACCTATAGGATAAAGTCAGCTGAGATGATGGCAGTGAACTCCCAAAAGACAGCATATTTACCAAACAGGTAACAGAGCACCAAAACTGCGTTTAGGCCATTGTGATCTTACATCCTACTATCTTTGTGATACTGTAGTAGTTTTCTATCCATTCAACTTTTAATTTACAGTGATGCATCTATCTGGCTGATTTGCAGTAGCCATTTACCTCCTCAGAAGAAAGCAACCTTGTAAGCTAATATGTATCTTGTGGTAACTAAGTGGATACATCAGACCTATGTCTCTCAGAGAGCAAAGGAGGAAACAAATGTTTTTATCCATCTAGCATGCCACTGAGTAAATAATTCTCCATTATAGGAAGAGAGCACAGCAGTAAGAGCTACTTCTTACCTAGGGTTTTCCTAGGAATACGCAAGGCTTTGCAAAAAGAGTTCTTACTGCACTGTGCAGCACTGACACTAAGTTCTGTCCTGATGGTCTAACACATTTTCATTCTATAATTTCTCAGCAGCTGCATACTGTGACACAGTAGCAGCAGGCAGTGAAAAGCTTCAGAGGTGTTACAGGTGTGGTTTCCATCTAATTTTCTACCTCACACTCTACACCCCGTTCTGGTTCCTCTGTTTCCCATTTACAGAGCCTGCTGCACAAGTGGGCTGATTCTCCACTCTCAGGTCTTACCTCTGCACTGTACCTCCCCCACAGACGTTGGTGCTTTCCCAAATCAAATGTTTCTGGCATGAGAAGTTGTATGGTGCTTATATTTTCAGAACTGGGAGGGGATTCTTGCATTTCTGATTACATTTTCAAAATTTCCTTTCCCCTTCTAGCATTTAAGAGACCCCAGTGGAGACAAACATGGCTGTTTTTGCCTTCTCAAATTGCAAGGAAGATGATCTGAAGAATAAGAACCAGTTTGGCTCTTGGATTCTCCAGAGAACACGGAATTACACTGACCATGGTGTTTCATAATATGCTAAGCTAGCACAACATGAAATTAGTGAAATGTGTTTCTTAATCCCAACAGCAACCAACTAAGCATTAAGAGTAGCCACTCACAAGATGAAAAGATCCTCTTCACAGGAGCTACAGTCCTCACCCACCTCTTGAGAATACATTAACATCTGCCTGAGAGAAGGGAGACAGATTAAATGCACGTACCTCCAGTGAACCTGAAAGCATTACAAGCAAACAGTTAACACCAAAGACTTCACATCTGTTTCTTGGAGACAGTCCAGTTAGCACCACTGCCCAATATGTGAGGCAACAAGGTAGTCTTTATAAGGCACTGGGCTAGAAGTCATGGTGTAAGGGTAATATTTTCACTTCTGCTATTGATCAGCAATACATCGCAACCTCTGCTTCTCCTCCTGCCTTCTGTCTGCTTCACCAGTTCACTGGTGGAGTGATTATACGTGTGAAGAGTACCAGGGACTCTCATACTAGTCAGCTACAGTGGAACCAGAGTCTCAGAAGCAGTACAAAATTTGAATAACATTAAGACATCTTACATCACATTCCTGTCAGAACCAGGACCACTCAGATCTCTGTTATTACCTCTGGTCATTAAGCCGTCGGTATTTCTCCTTGTCAGCACTGTTAATTTTCAGGAGTGGTTGCAGATGCTCGTGATGTGTTTTCACATTCTGGTTGTCTACGTAGACATCATAGAGATCTCGTTTCTCCTCAAAGATCTTTTCTGTTGTACCTGCCAAAATCAGACAGGATTTTTCAGAACAGCATATTGCTTTCCCTGCAGACCAGCTGCTCTCTCCTGCTTTTGTATATAGTTAATCCTAGCATGTCTCATCTCTCCAGTTTTAATCTACAGCTTGGAATCTCTAGATATTTTGCAGCCTGAAATTAAAAAAGGTCTGCCAAATCCATCATACTTACAAGCCACATATGATACTTCTGTCTCCAGCATTTCTATGTCTGCCACATTCACATAGAAGAATGGTTTGGATTCTGGGACAGTTCCTCCAAGACCAGGTAGAGAAACGTTGGCAAGGCAACAGCAGCAGTACACTGCAGATGAGAGAAGTAAGCGCTGAGATGCTTTCAGTATTCCCTGCAAGGGCATTATGAACCCTGCTTACTCAGTTCTCCCACATGCTCTTATGTAAACAGTGGTTAGAGCTTTGAAACGCCCCCTGGACACCAGAAAATCTCAAGTGGGAACATCCTATTTTGGATAGGAAATAATCAGTTCTCCCACCGTAATCCCATGTTCCAGATTCCACAAATTTATTTGGCAGTCTTATTTTCCAGTGTTTGATAGTGCCAGGTATGCCCTTAGCCCAAAGACCTGAAGAAAAGTGTTTTGTAAAAAAAATAGATACATTCAAGGCAAACTTTATCCCCCGCAAAAAATGGCTGTGATGGATTTTTAAGACCTGTGTGACGTCTCTCCCCTCAGTACCCACAGGCAATTTGGCAGCTCTTTAGCCTACTGTATAGCTCTGTGGTGTCCCTGGAAACATACCTCTATAGCAGACAACTCCAACTGGGGGTGGTGAAAATATCAATATGCGCTTGCGCAGCAGGGCAAACTTCCAGAGGACAAGAATCTGCTCACCAAAGAATTTGATGAACTGAGACATACAGCCAGCAGGGTGTGTGATCTGCAGGTGGAGGGAAAGGGAAGAGAACAGCTTAGAGGTTACAAAGGGATACATGCACAGATGCTAAGTCTAAATGTGGGAGCAATACTAGCACATGGCAATGACAGAGAACTGCAGCTTGTAATAGCCCAAGTCAGTCTCATCTAAAACAGCCTGCAGAGTGCTGGAGTGACTTCTTACATAAAGAAGTACAAGACACCAGTAAAGAGCAGCAGCACAGTGCATGTTCCCACAAACCTCAGAGTCCCTGCCTCACCTTCATCTCAGGGTACATGTATCTGTGGATGGATGGCAGCCAGTGGACAGGTTGCTGGGAGGTGGTGGTGCCCTTGCTATCAGGGAGAACACCTTTCTTGTCATCATAGAACGCCTCTAGATGGGAGTAGTGCCCTGGCATCTCCAGCTGGTGTCTGGAAGAGAAACAAAAGAGATCTGTAGTGCCTCCAAACTCTATTTATTTAATCCCTTGCCCCAAGCCAGTATCTGCTTTTGGATGTAGCAAAAGAGTCCCAGGTGCCTCAGTTGCACAGACAATCTAGAAGGGCAGTCTGTGCATGAAGAGTAACACCAGCTTTCTGTGCAATGAACAAGCAGGATTGAAGCAGACAGTGAACTGATTTATGCATAGGACTGATCCTCTCTCAAAACGTGGTCAGGTAGAATCAGCTTTCCTTTCTACCAAACCCATTTGCCTGACCCACTGACCAGCCCACTGAACACAGCTGAGGCAAGCACTGAGCCAGAATTACAATAACAGGCTTAGAAGCATCTTGTGAGCTCTCAGTAAAATAGTTTTCAAAAGGACAAGAGAGAAACTTGTCCTCTCAACAAGAGGACACTAACTTCTTGCCCTTTCCCCTACAGGTTACATTCCCACAGTGCTTCAGAAGAAGTAGGGTTTGGATAGCATTCGATAGCCTGCTAACAGTGAAGACACTGCTGCTAAATCGCTTCCTTCATCCCTTCTCCGTTGTCAACTATAAACTCTCTCTGCTGAACCAGACATTCAGCAAAGTTATAACTCAGCATTCCACTCGAGTTCTCACACATCTAAGACCGCCCTCCACTGAGGCAATGCTACCTTTCCCAGGTGGTGAGCAGCCAGTTCCATCCCCAAGGAAACTTACCTGACCTGGTTCTCCAGGAAGTGCATGTACCTATAAAGCAGGGTGTAAGAAGGAGACAGAATCCCCACAGACTTCATACGGGCACCACGCTCTAACTCACTCTCCACAGGCATGTTGGCAAAGCAGGCCAGGCCAAAACAGAGCCCTTTCCGGAAATAACTGAGGACAAACATTTCACAGAAGAGTTAATGTTAAAAGAAGGGAAGGGAATGAAAGAAAGGTATCCTACCAGCAAAAATACTGATTTTTTGGAACATAGTTCCTTCTTTAAGAAAACCCCCAAAATCTCACTGTGCTATCTGAAGGGTTGAGAGCTGGCCCTCAACAGGACTGGACCATGGAAGAGTAGAGTTTCTAGTGCTGCTACCACCAGCACCCCTACCAACCACATCACAACATGGCAGCAAGGAGGGAAAGAACTTGAAAGACCAATAGGGGAGGCAGGACCCAATCGACACAGTGCTGTTCTTAAGAAGAGCCTGGAACGCATGAAGTCTAGCTACTTCATCATATTTTGGGTGCCAGCATGTGGAAGCATACTCCAGCTGAGTGCAAATCTACATGCCTTTGAGAAAGTAACAGTTACTCCTGACCAGAAGGAACAGTAACAGTGCAATTCATTGTGAAACACTGCTGTATTGCAACAGTGGGCTAGTAAAAGCGTGAGAATGCAGAACTGGCCATCAGTCTTTCCACTGTAGGAAGAAACCAGGGGTGAAGAAAGTGACTGAGGACTGTTTATCACAGTTAAAGGATCCTAAAGTGCTGACAGAATTAAGAACCATAGAATTTCTAAGTTCTGATCCTGCAAACTTCTTCCTATTTTACTTCTGCCATTCTCTCTCCTTCACCGTAGGTCTCTGCTGATTATCTGAACGTTTGCAATGCAGTATGATTTGCCCAATAAGCATTAACATTTGCACACCCGTGAGAAGCTGGTTGACCTCCACAGCATGCTGTCGTGCAGATCCCATACAGCCAGCTGGTACTGGATACAATATTGAGTGTATCTGAACAGTATCTGGCTTAGTGCAGCACAGGTCAGCAGCACAGCAGTGCAGGAATTCAACTTCATAGGTGGTGTTTTTCTTGCATGTTGTGAGTTAAGGGTGGTGATGTAGATGTAGAGCCAAGAGAAGGAAGAAGTAACCCAGCTCAGGCATACTCACATGAAGTCTGACTGGATTTTGTGGGACCCACTTGCCATGGATTTGAATTCCACGCCTTCCAAATCAATATCTTGTGGTAAACACCATTCCACCATGTTGCCTGCAAATAAGCACATTTATTTGGGTGCTCATTAGTGAAAGGTCAACACCAGCAATAGCCAGCTGTTGCAGAACTATGCTGGTAACGCTGAAATAACGCTGCTCTAGAACTCCCTCTGTCCTGGACAGAGGCTGCAATACTGTACTCCACTCTACTGTATCTCTTGCAAACTTCACTTTTTGCAGCACAACACCCAGGTATTAGAGAACTGTTTTGGAGCTTAGTGCTGTTTTGTGTGTTTATCCTTTATGCACTTTGTCACAGAGCAGCTACCACTCTTACCTTGCCAGTTACTCTGATAGTGGACAAGCTATAATATTGATACAGAAAGAACCCTATGTGTAGACTGCTGGTCCATAGGATGAGTTTATGTGATCATAACATCAGTATCTTCCTGTGGCTATGCAGGATAGGACTGCCCCTACCTAAGCCAGCATCCTAATCATCACTACTCTCTGGAATTTCTTCTTTTTTTTCAGGGTAGGAAGAGATCCAGGCACGGCATGTTTGTACATGCAACAATAACCAAACAAAAAAAAGCACACAGGTTACATGTTAGATAAAGATTATCACACTGATGTCACCTGACAACCCAGCCAGACAGCATGCAGTTGTTCAGTGGAGAGGGCCACCTGAAGAGCCCAGTCCTGGAACAGATGGTATCAGAGAATTTGTAACAGGTCTCTAGAGCTGCCTTGCCATGGTATTTACCATGAGTAAAAATGGGTCCTTCTTAGGCTTTCCCATTACAGCCCTTCAGAGATTATCTTGTTCACCTGGACACTCTTACTGCAACAACACATCCTCTAGGTTCTGCCACTAGTAGCTGAAACATGAATTTGAAATAATTCAGCAACTTAGTTTTAAAAAACAAAGGAAATAAAGGATACTTGCTTAAAGCAATGGCACAGGCACTTATGGGGACAAGCATCCCCCTACAGAGACATTGCATACATTTGGAAGGGCTCTACACTTAGCCAAGGCTGTTAGAAATAGAGGCCTCTGATTTAAATATCTCTGAGACCTGTCTGCTGTGTTATTACTCATACTGCATAAGTACATGCATGCAAATTCGCATTGAGTTGAGCTGTTGACATTTAAATAGGCTATTTTTTCTCCCCACGGATATTGTATTTAGCAGACCTTCCCCAGCCCTGCCTGGCAAGGACTTCAAAGAAACAACAGCGTGGCACCAGGAGAGATGTGGTACCCAGGCTCTTCCTGCCCACAGGCACACAGCTCCCCATGGGCTGGCTGAGCCATGCAGCTCGTGCCATCCCGTGCTCCACCACAACGCGCCTTTGCCTTTAACAAGAGTGAAAGGCTGGCAGAGGGAAGCGGTGACATCATGCCACTGCACGGTCCCCTGTAGGTTTTGCATATTATATATAGATGCTGGCTTTTGTTCTGTGGGGGTTTTGTTTTTTAAAGGCACAGGACCCTTCCTTGACAGAGTAAGGGAATGACTGTTGCCTCCTAACCACAAGGCTGTGGTTATTGCTAGATCCTCTTTTAAGGCTTGCACCACAGAGAATCACGCGTTGGTCATCAGCTCTATATTAATGTATCAACAAGCAAGAGATGGAGCAAAGGCAAGTAACTTCGTTTTGTCTATCAGAAGCTCTGCTGTCTGCCACGTACAGAGATGTTGGTGTGGACACAGCTCAGACAACCTGTGCGCTGCAACGCTAAGGAAGGAAAAGGCATCTTGAGTAGATTCTTATCTGCTGCGTACCCACAAGACCTATTGCATGTCACATAGCTATTTATCCTGGGCTCTGTAGCTACAGGCTGACATCAACAGCCCACACCTGCGCTCCTGGCAGTTCCTCACACCGCCGTGCCCTATGAATGTACAGGCGACGTGGCAGCTGGAGAGCCAACGTGGAGATAAAAAGACTTGAAGTCAGTCTGGTGAAACAGAGCAAACAAAGGACACGGCGGCAACTGCCAGCCTGCATGAGAAACTGGAGGAGGGAGGAGAGGCACGCTGTAGAAAAACAGGAAGCATTTGCCTTCCCCTGCATAAAGCAGCTCTCGTGCGCGCAGGAAACTTTCCAAGTGAGATCTGAACTTGAGAAAAGCTTTGCCAGGAGACAAATCTGGAGATCTTGTGGGAGCTCTTCCAGCACCAGGTAGGTCAGAAACAGCACTCTCAGTTGCTGGCATGCAAAGTTAAGGATATTCTTCCAATTCTGCTTTTCTTCCCTCTCACCAATGACACCAGCACCTGATGGCTGCAGTAAAGTCACCACCCGGCCATCCTCACCAGTAGATGTTTCCCAAGGTCTTCAGGGTGCTGGTTCTTGACCTGCTTCTGTGTTGTACTGGGACAGGAGCTGCACCAGGTGAGACCTCACTGTGTTATGGCTCAGTTTCCCATGTGGAGGAAACGTGGAACAGAAAATCAGAACATTTACGTGTTTTCTGGTGGGAAACTGATTCCTTCTCTCACTTCTCCCTTATGTTTCCCATTACTCCTATCACCCATTAAGCCAACAGGCTGTGCAGGAACTCCACAAAGTTGACTATTATCTCCATCACAGAAAGAGGGCTAAGAAGGTTCAGCCTCTTTTCCAGTATTCCAGAAGAGTGAAAGTGGCATTGAATTTGCTTCACCTTTTTTTTTTTTTTTTTTTTAATCTCCCTCTTAAAGCAAAATGTATTGTCCTGTTTCCTTTTCTTACCTACCCAAGGCAGGTATGAGTGTAGGAGAGCATGTGGAGCCTAATGCCAAGTAGGTCACACCTACTGGATATGTCCCAGCAGCTGCCCAAGGTAATCTTGGGTCTTCCATTACTGCCTGCCCCAGAGAACAAAGGCACTGGGAAGTTCAGCACCTCACGGAAGCACCTTTTGACCGCAGTCTTTGTGGGGCTGTGTTGGCACAGACCAGGTGCTCACATTTTTTCAAGAGTTGAGAACATTCTCAACTCTTTACTCCCTTAAAGAGAGGGCTGCTACAGGGCAGGGAGCAAAAAGAAGGTAGCACGGTTGGCTCCTGGCCTGCCACCATTCTGCTCTCCTTGTAACAGCCACAAGGAGGTCTCTTGTCAGGTCCCACAGGTTCACCGTGCTGGAAGTGGGAAGAGCACTGCTGGGTTAGAGGCAGCCTCTGACTTCTGGGTTCGGCACACAAAGAGTCCCAGGGACACTGGAACCATATTAGTGAGTTGGCAACCCCATAACCTACCCCTGTGAGCCCAGGATGTGCACTTGACAGAAATACCAAGCTTGTGGTCCTTGAGCACTTTCAAATTTAGGAGGGAAGCTGCTAGAGCCTTTATTAGTGCAGTCACCACATGTTCCTTCTACAGGAAAAAGATCCCTCATGCTGTTGCTCCGGTATTTGAGTAGACATTGCCAGTTCTGCCTTTCATGTGCCTAAGCAGGCTTCCACAGGAGGGCTGCTGTGCTTTTCCTAAGCAGCATCAACCTGGTTTCAGATACAGTATGGATGATCTCCTTCAAGTCGCATGCAGGGACCAGGCACCCTTATGCACACTAAAGTGTACATGGTTGCACACATGACATGGTTGACTAGAAATTTCTCTTTCCAACGCCAGCAAGCTCCTCTCACTGCAGTTCTATTTTGTTCTGGGTTTCCATCCTCCATGGGGCAGTTTGCCTGTGAAGCTGACATCTCAGTATGCTCCTCACCTGGTACTCCTTGTGTTCAGCACCAGCACTGTGTGGCAGCAGCACACCGACCCTCCCCAGACACAGCAGCCTGTTCCTGGGCAGATGACACCACACAAACTGCACATCAGATGTGAGAAGAGCTGTTGCCCAACTCTCCCTGGACTCCATTCAAAGCAACAGCTGGCCCAGACAAACTCCTGAGAAAGCCAAGCTTTCTGCCAACCAGGAAACCTCCCCAATTCATAGAAGGCATATGCTGTCAGATTGAGAGCAACCTGCCGCCACCATCCGCGCTCTGCTGTGTTTTGGGTACTTATGGGAAACACCTCCCTCCCCATCTCCAGTTTGAAAGGCAACAGCCAACCTCGTTCAGGGTTTTGCTGAGTCCCAAGCTTATGACCTCCAGACTCTCCCTGGGGCAGCACAAAATGGGTGATGTTTTGAGAGCCCTCGGGTGTCCCAGGGCACAGCAGCCACAGGTTGGCAGCGTATGGACTGACCGCATCCTGGGGCTCCGTTCTCCACGTTGTTTCTGTGGGCTGCAACTCCGGGCAGGGTCAGCATTCACTTTCAGGGCCTCCTCTGAGCTCAGCCCCTCCGTCAACAAAACAACACAAAACCAAAACAAACCAGCATGCTTTACATCAGAATTATTTTGCTAGGAATTCCTTAAGCGTCTGTCAACAGGAAAAAAAAAAGAAAAGAAAAAAAAAAAAAGAGGACCGCGTTTCCATGCCGGGCTGCGGGTGCGTCGCTGTGCCTCCCACGCTGCTCCCAAACTTCCTACTGGCCGTGCCCCACTCCTGCCAACACCCCAGGACCGCCGTGGGGCACAGCCACCGGCCGCACGTCCCCACGCAGCCGCCCGTACTTACGGACGCGCGAGGGTAGCGCGGCTCCGCCGGCACCCCCGGCAGCCCCACGGCGACGGGAGATGCTCCGCACCGCCACCTCCCCATCGACCCGCCGCGCCCGCCCGCGCTCACCCGTGCGGGGGTCGAAGGTGACCACGAAGACGGCCACGATCTGGTCCTCCTCCGCCTCCGCCCGCGGCGGCCCCGCCGCCTCCGCCTCGTCCTCTTCCTCCTCGCAGACCCACGGCGCAGCGCTCCAGCCGCCGCCGAGCCGCCGCCCGCCGACGCCGCCCGTCTCGGCCGCGGGCGGCGGCGCGGATACAGCCGGGCCCTCGGCCCAGAAGAGCAGCGGCGCCTCGTCCGCCCGCTCCACCATGGCCGCGCCGAGCCCAGCCGAGCAGCGCCGGCCGCCGGCGGGAGGCGGCTCCGGGGCGGGGCGCCGCGGGACACGCCTACAGGGGACGGGCGGGGCTTAGCGGCGGGGGTGGGCGGCGCTCCGTGCGGGCTCTCAAGAAGGTCCCGCTCCTCTGGGGAGCGTGGGACAGCTGGGGGCTGGCGATGCTGAGATGTATACGTTCGCATAGCGCATAGATATGTGAAACGCGTTGTGGAGGAACGGGCGGAAGCAGTTGTGGATGCCCCATCCCTGGGGATGTTCAGAGCGAGGCCGTGGGCAGCCCGATCCGCTGGGTGGGCTTTAAGGTCCCCTCCAACCCAAGCCAGTCTGCGGTTCTGTGAGTTCAGCTCAAGACAGAAACACGGGGACACCAACACGCCCAAGGCACCCGCAGCGGCCAGCCTCAGTGTAATTACCACCCTCGTTATGCTACCACCATTAAGCTTAGCCCATTTCCCTGGGAGTTTCTGATTAATTGGATTACCCAATTAAGCAGGCTACAATTAAAGGGAAAGCATTGCCATAAAAGCTTTAACTGCCCGACTTTTTGCCTGCTGAGCAGCTCTGAGCATTCAATACTCCATGAAGAAACACAATGCAGTGTCACCAGTATTCATTTTTCTGTGACATCCACGTCCATTCTCTGTGAGCTGTGGCTCAGCCAGTGCCAACATGGGCACAGCAAAGTCACCTAGCAGAGCTGTGAGTGGTGGTTGGCAGGTGGAGGTACCTGCAACAGATGATGGACAAGAAAGAAAACCAAGAGCCCTGCACGGTGCTTTGGTGGTGTATGAAAGGTTTAAAGAAAAGCCAAGTTCTGCTTATACCCGCACACGTTGCTCTCACCACATGGGCAGCACCAAGCTGTGCTTTGAGGCATGTTTGTCTGCGTGTTGCTGCTGACAGCTCACTTCCCTCTCTTAGTGCAGAGTTTAAAAGCAAAGGCCCTCTGCTTTTGTATTTCACCAAAATTAACAGATTCCCATCTCAGGGAATGTGGCCATGTGAGGAGGAAAAATCCTTCCTCTGATGAAGCTCTAAGAATCATAGAATCACAGAATCATAGAATCCTTAGAGTTAGAAGGAACCTTTAAGGGCCATCTGGTCCAATTCCCCTGCAATGAACAGGGACACCACAGCTACATCAGGTTGCCCAGGGCCTTATTCAGCCTTGCCTTGAAAATCTCCAGGGACAGAGCATTTACAACATCACTAGGCAACCCGTTCCAGTGCCTCACCACTCTCACTGTAAAAGACTCTTTCCTTATATCCAACCTAAATCTCCCCTCTTTGACCTTGACGCCATAGAACATGAACCAGGAACATGGTCTCTGTATCTTTGAGCATTCCTCCAGGATAAATAAGAAGTAAAACCAGTGGATTTTAGTTAGATGTGAAATGAGCCTTCCTCACACTCAGGTTGATATTCCTTCTTGGGGCAACTGCTTCCCATAGCCCTGGCAATAACAAAATGCAAAAATGCAAAAAATAAAATGTTTGTGAAGAGCAGTGGGTACAACACTGAGCACCTGGCATGTCTTCCTCACAGCAAATGAACAGCCTTAGCGGGCAGCTTCAAAGACCTGAATGCCTCAGTTCTGACTAACAGGCCAAGTCCAAGGGCAGGCTGACCTCGGCTTGACGTGTCCCTTTGTTTTCTGGTGGGAACCCTCCTCAACCCGTGCACTGGGAAGCACGTGCCCATGCTAACAAACCCCCATCTCTTCTGGGCTGTGATCACTTCCAACTTCTGCATGGCCTTCGAGCAGCTCTCCTTGATGCTAAAAGGCTTCTGTGACCTCATTCCCAATTCATTAAAGCTCATTCTGGTTCCTCTTCGAAGCGCAGGCACACAGAGGTGGCAAGTGATGAGCTTTACACAGAGGCTTTGTCCATTACCCACTGAGCTGTTAGTGGACAACCTGCACATGCCATTGCCATTGGCACGGCCATCACCTCCTCTCCCAGGGATGACACATGGAACCCACACGCAGGCCTGTGTATTCCCCCTCACAAAGTCTAGCACATTAAAAATTAGGCTGCTAACTAACCCGTGCAGGCTGTAATGCTTCCCAACCTAACACACAGAACAGGAAGTTAAATTCAGACCTAAAAAAGAAGAAGCACTGGACCCATCCCTGGCAGATCCAGCATTTATGTAAGCAAAGCCCACAGAGGCTCCATCTCTGGTGGGATTAACACAAAGCAGCCTTGCTGTCAGCAAACATCACCTCCCCACAAAGCTGAAGGAGAGAAGAGTGTGCAGAAGCAAAGGGATGACTCAGTGCAGAGCTAGCTGTAGCACAGCATTCAGGTCCATAGCAAAACCCCAACCAGCAGCACAGGCAGCCCTGCACAGGTGCTGCTGAGCTCCAGCTGCTTCCCATTAGTGATGGTCCTGAGGTGTGGGGTGGTTATAAATGTGGTGGGAGAAGGGCTGGTTGTAGGGTGGTTGGTGGCTTCTTGGGGTTCTTTCTGCTTTTACAGCTGTATGTAAAAGGAGGACTATTTTGTGGTTGAAAAGTTTAAGAGTGAGAAAGGTGAAGGGAGAGCTGCAGCCCCTTGTTCTGGGGGGGGGGTCTGGTGGTTTAGTCTGTGTGATGAAGCGGTGGGTGAGGTTCCCCTTGAGGTTCACTGGGAAAGGCAGTGACTTTTGAGCTGTATCTGACTTATACCAATGAAGTGAAAGCCCTTCTGTTACATTTATGTGAGAAGTAGCTGGATAGGGTTATATGTGGGGATTTGGGGATATTCTTTTAATATAATTAAATGACAGCTTTGTGCTCTGTGCTGCTGTGTATGAAGGGCAAGGGAAATAGGCACAGGGAGCAAGGCTGTTAAGTTGGTCTAATTGAGGAAAGGGGCAGCTAAGCTGCCTATGTAAGTAATACTGTCTTTCTCTCCTTCTGCTCTTCTCTCTCCACCAGGCAGACCAGGCTCTGCTCCATCAGCTCTATTTCATATGGTGACATGGATGACTGGGAGAACAACAACGATTTCATTCAGAGGCTGGATTTTTCCAGCTGTGGAGAAGAGGGTGAAGACAGAAGCATTAATGAGGAGGACACACTGAGTTCCAGCCCAATTAGGAGCTGTGACTTCCAGAAGTGGAACAGTCCTTTCCCTGCAACTCCTCACAGGAAGCTCAGTGAGATTTTCCTGAGCAGGACTAAATCCTGGATGAGCCCTAACCTGAAGTCCTCTCCAGGTGTGAGCAGAACCCGTGGTAATGCAGAAACACCGCTGCACATCACTTGGAAGAAGCTGCAGCTCTGTGACACCCCACACACTCCCAAGGTACCGGTGTGCATTCCTGTGTCTGGACAGGCAGGGGCTGTGGCATCACTGGGCTACTGCTGTATGTGTAATATGGGAAATCTGCTGCTAGCTCTGTGGGAAGTAGATTTTTTTTTTTGTATAAATCCTTGTTGGCCTTCTACTCTTTCATTAGAAACTGGGCCCACAGGCTCCTTAGCTGATTATTTTCTAAGTGTGAATAGAAACCTGTGTGTGGGAGCAGGTTCCTTGACACTTTCCAAGTTGTTGTTGTTGGAATTAATTAATTGGTACTGATTCAGCCTGAGTTAAAAAAGGAGAAAAACAACAGGAAAAAAAAAAAAGCAGCCATTTGCCTTGGCTGTTGGTTCCCTCCTGCTCTGCATAATGGGCTGGACACATGTAGCATCTCTGTAGGCAGTGTGCACAGTGCTCCCAGAAGGATAAATATATCTTTGAGATGCTAGTTACATGGGGCAACTTGGAGGCAAGCAGCTGCCCTCACTGTCTGTTCTGTTCAGCCCATTTTTGGATACAAGTGGGTTTTCTTTTGATGAGATAGTTGGAAATGCTGCTGCTGCTGGGGTGTAATCTGTCTGGTGGAGCTGGAACCTTTCCCATCAGCTTGTTGATCATTGATGCTGCTTCTATGCGCATGGAACTGAGCTGCCCAGGGAATCTGGGGAAGGCAGAGCTTTGTTCACAGGGTAACAAAAATCACCATGTGCTTGTGAAAGGAAGATCTACCTGTCTTCCTCTGTACCACTCTTCTCATGTGTAATTTACCTACAGGTCTGGCCTCTTGAGAGAATGTCCTCAGCCTCCTATTTTCTTTGAAACTTCTTCTATGAAATAGAATGCAACTGATGCAGTCTTCTGTAAGAATGAGTGTCGAATCACAGCCACTTTGTGTTCTTAGATTATTTCTGTTGTGTGCACTGGCTTCTAGCATTCAAGATTAGCAATGCCATGTAGCTCTTACAGGCCTTACAGTGCTCCTACTCTGATAGTCAGATTGCTCTTTCTGAAGTACCACACATGATCAGTCCCTTTACTACTTCTGAGCTACAGTTTAACTCCTAGCCACCTAAGGATTTTGGTTTGTCTCCCTCCAGAAACCTGATTATGTGGGTAGAAGTCTGGCCCTAAGACCACATGTGACTGACTATGGGGCCATATAGGGCCAGAGCACTGCTCGCCTCTTTTAAGAAAGAAGTGACTCTGAAGGGCCTTGCTCCAACAATTTCCTGCAGTGGTCCTTTAAGAAATCTTCCTGAACCTCACATTAAAATAGGTGAGAGGCCTAGCATTGCCTTCCAGACCAGATGTAATGCTGGGTGCTTTCAGCGTGTGCTCCTGCATTCAGCACCACTGCTGGCTGGATGCTTTAAGACATGCTTGTAGCCACTTAACAGCAATTGCACCAAATCAGCAGGTTTCATTTGTTTGTGTTCTGAGAGAAATGCCTTTGTTTCTCAGTATACTGCAAAAGACAGGCTCTAAAGGGCTAAATCTGCATGCAGGGGTGGCTGGCAGTATTGATCATGGGATGTTTGAAAGAAAGAGTAAGAGCAGAGCCACATCTGCACACAGAGAAGTGCTGAGGCTCTAGGTAGACAGCATGGCAGAGTAGGCAGACAATTACATTTTATGAACTTATTCTGTCCTCAAAACTGCTACAGCTAATTATGGTAGCTGCCTTG